GTATAAGTAGGTATACTACGATTAAATCCATAGGGGGCACTGCCCAGATACCCAACAGCCACTGCCCGTCTAGCAAAACTCATCAAGAAAACAAGCAATGACAGAACAAAGCACCAAGCAACACTTCAAATCAGGGAAAATGCGCGATGATAAGCGACGGCACGCGACCATGGTTGAAGTAACATCGATGACGACGACACATGCCCCCAAAAACAGCAATCACATGATGACGCGACGTGCAGATAAGAGTGCTGCATCGCTCGCGCCAACACCTCAATATCGGCGATAAGCAACTCCCAAAAAGCAAAAACTAGCGGAATATAATTTAAGAACGGGGGAGAATGCAACCAAGATACAATTTCGGGTAGTTCCCAATGTCACCCCAGATCCGAACCATGGAAAATAAACATTCACGAGGCCGATACCCTTTTCGGGCAAGCAGAATTCACTTTATCGCGAGAGATGTGAGATCCAAAAAGTTTGTTCCAATAACAACAATGACAGGCTTAGCATTATGGATTACTATGTACAATAAGTAAACAAAAATTATGTGTCTGCTGTGCTGTGCTTCCTTGCGTAATTACATCTCCCCCTTGCAGCGTCCCCTGTAATAAGAAATATTCACATATGAAAATGTTCACGTTATATCGTCATGAGAGAGAGTGTTGTAGTATGTGCGGGTGTGCGATGTGGCGAAGACCGGTGCGTTTAGACACCAGAGTCCTCCTGGTGGACGGAGTCCTCAAGGGCGTAGGCGTTCCAGTTGGCGCAGGTGCTGTTGAGGGTGTCCTGGTTGTAGAGGGCGCCGATCTCGTCGGGGCGCTCGATGAGCTGGAGGGCGAAGCCGAGGGAAGTGTGCCAGCCGATCTGTGAATATTGTTAGTCGAGTGTTGTGAGAGCATATGCTATGAAAGGGATCACTTACGTGGCAGTGCATGAGCCAGGTGCCCGGGTTGTCAGTGTAGAAACCAATGACGAGGTAGCCGGAGGCGGGAAGCATGGCGACATCGCGGCGGGGAGCGTTGGTGGTCTGCAGAGTGACGGATGAGTCGTAGGTGCCGGTGGCCTGGGCAAGAATCCAGAAGTCGTGACCGTGGAGATGGATGGGGTGGGCAAGACCAATGGGGTTCTGGATGATGAAGTGAACCCAAACGTTGGCTTGGTCAAGGTGAACGATGTTCTGCTGGGTGGAGTAAGTGTCGTTGCCGTCGATGACTTGCTCAACAGTAGGGTAGCCCCAGTCGGAAAGGAAGGTGCTGTTGTTCAGGGTCCACTTGAACTGGCTGCTGACAACCTGGAGACCGACAGTGAGGGTATCATCGTAAGTCTGCTGGCCGGCCTCGATAGCAACAACAGGGACCAGGTCAGACATGGACTCGTCCAGGCAGTTGTCCATGTAAGTACCGATCTCGGTGGTGGGGTCGGCGGTGGAGGAGGAGTCGTAGCGAACGATGCCCTTGATGTCGAGGGTGTTCTCGTTAGAAGAGCAGGTGAGCTCGGGGACGGCGCGCAGCCAGTAGTTGTCAGTAGCCTGGTTGGCACGAACGATGACATCGTAGCGCTGGCCAATACCGATGGAGATGCTGGAGGTGTTGTAAGGGTTGATGGGGACGAAATCGGCAGAGATGACCTCCAGGGTGTGGTTGTCAATCATGAACTTCCACATGGTGTCGATGGCACCGTTGACCAGGCGCATGCGGTAGGACTTTCCAGCCTCAAAGTTGGTGGTGAAGCGGGAGCCGCCGCCGTTGTACATGCCCGTGCCGTTGATCAGACCGGTGTTGGCGGTAGGGGGACCGTTGGTGGCTGCGGTGGGGTAGAGCTCGTCACTGGTCTGGTGGAACCAATCGCTGAGCATGATGGTGCCGAGATCTTCGTCGTAGGGGGCGGAAGCAGGGCCGTTGACAATGATACCACCGAAGAGACCGTTCCTGGGATCTGTCAGATAGGGGTCTTGAGACTATTGAATTCGGAAAACTTACCAGGCCTGGAGGGCAAAGTGGCTGTGGTACCAAGAAGATCCATACTGAGACGCGTGCCAAGTGTAGGTGATGGAGTCGCCGGGAGCAGTCGGGCACTGAGTAATCGAAGCAACACCGTCGGCCTCGTTGGTGTAGTTCTGGCGGATACCGTGGAAGTGAAGAGATGTGCCGTTGTTCTGCATGGAGTTTCTCACGTGAACCACTAAATGTGGTCAGCAAACAGATCTCGCAGGCTGGTCCTTGCTGCTTTAGACTTACCGACAGTGTCACCCCAGTCAGCAATGATGGTAGGGCCGGGAACGGATCCGTTGACGGCGAGGACGATGCGCTCAACACCGTCGGGAGCGGCGGTGGTGTTGGTGATGTCGAACCAGTACTCACGGATGACTCCGGTGTTGGGAGCCTCCTCGTACCAGTTGGTGTTGAGATCGTAGGTGCCATCCCAGCAGGAAGGGTTGGTGGCAGAGTCGAAGACACAGTCTTGACGCTTCTCGATGAGGGAGGGAGCGGCGGCCGTCAAGGCAGGGAAAAGGAGTGCAGCGCACCCCAAAAGCGAGTGTTTGTACATGATTGTTGGTGTAATCAAGTAACGAGTGTCGAAAACGAGAGAATGTTCAAAGAACGAAGATCAAATGCCAAAAACGAATGTAGGCAAGAGAGAGAAGGAAGATCAAGCTTGATGAAGCGGATGATGATGTTCTGGAATGGATTAACAGACGGGAGATCTGACTTGCCTTTATACAATTCGAGATTCGATCACGACATGGACGAGATGCACCCAGTCTCACCAACTTCGTCTAAGCGAGCCGAGAGAGCCAGATGCCCCCGACACGAACTCGCAAGCACAGCACCCAGCGTAGCTCTCGATGCTGCGCTCTGAGGACCTAGTTCGGGGCGAGAGGCCGATCGCCCCTGACTCGAAGGGTACTTTCCCACACAGGAGGCCATCATGAACGACCGGGTTGACACGAGAACATCGGCGTCCGGCAACTTTGGCGAGCCCGCCTGCAAGCTGCTCCACGATGACAGACGGGGTACATTCAAGCATAGAAGCTATACGAGCGAGAACTTGATACCCATGTCGATGAAAGATCCAGAGAAGGGGGTCGGCCATCAAAGGCCCATGCGTGATGTTGCTCTGTCGCTACCGAGCAGGAGTAGACGAGGGCAAGACTGCTTGCCATATCCGCCGACCACCTGCCACCCCTGACCGATATGGATGACCTGCATGCGAATTGCATAGGCGCTGGTCTTTCCGTACACTAGCTCGTGGCCTGTGAGCGAGCGGCCCCATATCTCGACCCATCTTGGATGTGTGAAGTTCAGGCGGCTAAGGGGTGCAAGACGACGGTGGGTGTAGGGAATAGGAAAATATGGGGAAGGAAACAAGACGACGTTGATGATCTCCAGCCCGAGCCACATGCTTAGTCGATTTCAGACGAGACGACGTGCTGACTATCTTAGTCAGTCTACCCCATGCCATCAAACGATCGAACACGGCTGACGCGTAACTGTAGTGCTCCTGACAGTCAGCAGCAACTATCGAAACGTGCTTCTGTGTGGCTGCATTAGTCCCGCGGGTAGCAAGGCCAAACCCCGTGCGCTCCTTCGTTTCTTCTGCGATGGATACCTCCGAGTAGAGGACGGACGGGTAAACGAAACATAGGATGATTTTGACGTCTCCTAAGACCGGGCCTCCCTTGCCAAGACTGGAGTTCAGTCCGGGAGAAACGGGGGAGTAACAGGAGGACTTTGAGTCCGCCTAGAATCCAGACTAGGAAATGGGCAATGACTAAGGAAATTGTGTTAAGAACCAGTCAGCAATATCAGAGCCTCATTCGCGCAGAGAGAGTCGGCGAAGAGAGAGAGTCCAATGTTCGGCACCCTCGCTGCCCAATTGCAAACAGCCGAATGCCAAGCATGACGGGGAACGCCTATTGGCGGGTACGGTGGTGCTAAGGAAACATCAACGGTGATAAGAATTGAAGCTAATCAATAATTGAAGGCGGGCAGGCAGAAAAGGATTGGGAAAGGCTCAAAAGGGTGGTGAAGATGGCCAAATCCGTGGCGTTCCTCCGCTGACATGCCCGGCCGAAAAGACGCGGCTTGCCAAGGGTATCCCTCCATGCCGGCGGTGCGGCGCTGGCCCCCGGCCCCTTTCGGCCGCGGTCAACGTCATCCAATGCAACGGCGCCAAAGGGAAAACCGTTCGATATGGGGCGGGCGCGTCAAAACGGGCATGGGATGTAATGGATTTGGGGACTCTTCACTCTTGGCTCTTGGGAGATGGGGCCGGGGGGGGCAGAGAGAATATGGAGAAGGGTCGAAGGGCACAAGCCACTAGGTTGCAGTGGCGTTGGGCACTGACAAAGGAGAAAAAAAATCTGTCCGATGTTGTCCACTAACTCTGTTGAGCCGCTGACTCGGAGGAACGCAACGTCGACGGTCCAACGGTGGTGGGATTTGTTTGATGTTTGCATCCGCGTCTGTTCCCCGCGTGTAGCTCGGTCGTCCCAGACCACATTTTCTGTCCAAGAAGCCCACTGATGGACGATAGTCGATGCTACGGTTGCGCTGCAGGTAGTCCCACGTGTTGAAAACGGCCAGCGTTTGTCTGCCCCCTTTCATGGAGTTGTTTCGACTTTGGTCGTCATCTCTATCCAGAGTGCTCGTTCAGTAAAAGAGCGACATCCCGCCGGGTCTCACGTCGTCTTGGCACTGAGGCAGGCAGGGGAAGAAGAAACGAAGAAACGGACATGGGATGAGAGTGGGAAAGGAAAACGTGGTCCGCCGAAAGCCGGATCTCCCGCAGGATCTCGATAGCAAAAGTCGATACGGATAGCGACAGGACAGGGAGACAGATGGGGGGCATTTGCGAGCGGTTGGCGTGAGCCGACGACCGAGGAAATGCTATTTCGTGATGCGTCAGTATGCATCAGGACAGCGATAATGCGAGAGCGAGAAAGGCTCTATTGCCCAAGAGGGTAAAGGGCGGTTCAATAGACTTCAATTTCGTGATCATTTGCGAGTATGCTTGATTGGAAGAAGCTCCCGTGATTCCCCATGGCGGGCTCGGGCGGTCATTCGCGGGAAGGAGAATGGAAATCGGGGATCGAGGTCGTTGAGCAGCCGCCATTGGACGATAGAGGGATGGATTGCGTACGTAGTCCCCGGCTCCCTGCGAGTTGAATGTGGGGGTGAAAAGGTAATCCCGATGATGGGAGCAGGGGTTCCCGAAGGTGCGTCGACCATGTGCCTGCCTGCGTGCCTGTGTTTCTGCATGTTTGCTGCACGTCTGCCTGCCTGTCAGTCATCTATTTACCTAGTACGCAGGGTATCTGTTGCTATTGTTGGCGCGGTTCTTGACGGTACGTACGGATAAGCATGGGCGCCTGAGACTGACATGACAGGACAGGAGGATTGGCGGAGGATGGCGGTTGTCCATGTCCGTGGGATGTCCGTCTTTGCAGGTTCCGGCTGGCTTCAGCAGCGAAGCCGGCGGCGGGAGACTTGGCAACCTAACATCGTCATGCACCTGAAGCAGCGAGATACTGCAGGTAAGATGCAGCGCCTCAAAAGCGGTCCCCGTGAAGGATCAATGCCAATGGGATATCGACAGGAGCTGCGCGGACGAGGGGCCAACGGGATTGCCAGGGGCCAAGGGGCACGAGAGGAGAACGAGATGCACGAGGCTAGCGCTGGGCGGTTGTGGTTGCGGTTGGGATGGCACAGGGCAGGCAGCGTCGATGGACTGGATCATCTGGATGGGATGCATGTGAGCTTCCATTGCTTGCGTGTAGGCGTGTCTCAGTCGAGGGTTGGTGTTGGCAGTGTTGGTGCTGGTCTGGGCATTGGCAGGCTGCAGGCCAGGGCCCGTCGGTATTGGCGTCGACATTGACGATGTGAGGTTGTGTGTGAGGTGGATGTGGATGGGCAGAAATCTCGTCAATGGAAATCCATCAGCAGTGCATCCATGGTAGCGGCAGCAGGAAGGAGGAGGTTGCTGGGACCTGCGTGCCTGCCTCAACCCCTGGCCGGCCGCGCAAGCCTCATCTCTGGACGCGGTCCCGCTTTTAGCAGCCCCAACCGGGTACGTATCGAGGTGGACCGCCACACGGGCTCTCACCTGGCCAGTGCGCCCTCTGCTCGCACAAATGCCGGATGCCGCCTTGCATGCGCTAAGCCCCAATCGCCTTAGCGTCAGCGGTCAGGGCCCTGAGCCTCCATCTCGACGGTCGACGACCCCGACCAGCGTGCAACCTCCTCCAGACATCATCCCCGAAACCCTCACCTCTGCGCGCCCTGGACGACCATCAGTGTATCACCAACGCGACCAAACCACCCCCAAACACCAGCAAGGGCGACGACGACGATGTTTCTGCCCGTGGTATCGCAGCCGTCCTCTGCAATATACACACAACAAGGGGGGCTTTGGCTTCCTTACTTCAATCAGTCCTGACTAAGGCGCAGCTAAGGGTCCGACAGTCTTATGCCGAACAACTCGCCGCCTCTCGCCGACTTCTTTCACCGAGCCATCTCCACCAGCTCCTATCCACGATTACCCAAACTGGTAATAAAGTCTTGGCATCGCCAAAATCGTCCTCCCACGGCATTGCCGCAAATGCCTCACGCCCAAATTATCGCTGTCATAGACTTGCTGCTACAGGCAAGCACCTGCGCCTCTTCCCGCTCATCCGCGTCCGCACCCGCCCCTCCCCATTGACTCTGTGTGTCATTAACCTTCTTTCATTCCGCCCTTAGCATGAACCTCAATAACTTAGCACTCAATATGGATGGGCACCGTTCGTTGGCTGTGTCCTTGATCGGTTGCTCCCGAGTGACCTGTTCGTCGGCACATTCGGGAGCACCGTCGGCAGCCTGCGCACTGGAAGAAGAAAGCAAAATACCGAAGCCGTATGCTTAATTCCCAAATGCTAGGTTTCCGGGACGAACTCCTGCTGTCAAAGCTTCCATGGATATTGATTGCGATCCACTGGCTTGGGAGAACTGCTGCTGCCGCCGCTGCTACTGTTGCCAGCCGGCGACAAAGACTGAAGAAAAAACTCCTACCCTATGCCTATACTACGTGATGGAGGTCTATACCTACCTCAGGCGAGATAACATTGGCCCAGGTAGTTCGGTGAACCTCCTCACCGCCGTTCTCCTGAGCACTGCATTTCCCTCTCTTCCAATATTCATTCTCGTCTGAATCCATTTGAGCTTTCTACCTGCAGCCGTCCATTCGAGCAACTTCCCCGAGTCAAGACGGCCATCGCCACCCGGAGTAATCCAACGGGCGTCCTGTGAAGCAGGTATAGGGGATGGTGGAGGAGGGGTGTGAACACGCGTATTGGGGAAACATCGTGAACACGAGGAGCCTCTAGTATCGCAACCTCCAGATTCAACATCACTCGGCGCCATGCCGTAGCGAACCCTAGCTTCATCTTTCAGGTGGGCGAGAATCACAGACAGGCCGCCTTAGCCGGCGTCTACGAAGCGCTCATTACAGCTTCACCGTGAAGAAATCGCAAACCCTCTGCTTCGGGAACAACACCCGAGAAATACGGCGCCTCGGAAAAGCCCCTCTCTTCCTCTCTCTCTCGCGTGCGCTCTCACTCACTTACGAACCATCACAACTCAGCTTGCCTCACCTATCTACCGTCCCAGCCGCCTGCGCAGCCACCCACCGACGGACCTCCACGTCACCAGAAATTTAACTCGCAGCCGCTTAAGCGCAACGAAGATAGAATTGTCTTGGCTTTGCGGGACAGGCAAGAATTTAGAGAAAAAGGGTGTGGTCAAAAACCTGGCACATCGAACTAGTCGCCCACGCCAATTAACCTTAGAGCGCGGGGGATCAGGGCCGGCGGCGCTAAAGCCAGGGACGCTCAGCCTTTGTCCGACCGGGACCCATGTCGGTGCGTGGGCACACACAACGGCGGCGCGGGGGTGGTGGTGGTGGTCGGTGTCGGACAAGAGCCGGCCCCGGGGACTCGGCCGCTGCATTTCGCATCTTTCCAATCCGTGATGGTTGCGCAAGAACCACAAAACCTACGCAGACTCGACGCCGTGGGAGTCTCTATCGCGCAGCAATGAACCGAGGCCCTGGTTAAAGACGTGACCAAAAAGGTATCACGCGCATTTCAACCCGCCCTCCATGCATGCTTCCCAATCTTCTGCGAAGGACCTCGCGTGCGTCGGTGGGCATTCGCCTGGGGGTACAGCTGCCGCCACGTAAGCCCGCCGGGGTTGAGGTGCGAGAACGTGGAAGGAAAGCCGACGGGCAGCCAGCAAACGAAGATAACGACCACACATCCACTCTCGGATTGCAGCTGAAGAAAGTAATCCCAGGCATCACATCGCATCGTCAAACCTGTTGTCGTGCATGCAGTAAATTAGTGCTTAAACATTAGCCCCCGGCCTGCCAGGAAACTCAATACAGGCTTTGCTTCGCGTGACCGGCTGCATGTGTCAGGATGGTCGGCGCGGTGATCCGACGCTGGGCCGCTCACGATGAGAAATCCAGGTGTCGAGGTCGTCACCATTTCAATAATATTGGCAAAGTGTTGAGTAACGAAACACACAAAACATCGGCGCAGCAAAACCACCGCGCCGACGCTCTCCCGAGCGGAAAAAAACCAACTCCGACTTCGCCGATGCACCGCGACGGCGAAAAGGCGCGATAGCATCACCGATAGCATTGGCATTACAAAACATGAATTCAGCTCACGACCCCACGATCCTACATCGTATTGTCGCGAGTGAACTACCCCCTCAAGTAGACACACGGCTGAAGCCGACGATAGTATAGTTCATCAAGGTCCGTCCCGCTGACCGACAAGCCCCATCCCCAGCCTAGAACATCTTCTCGAACTGCACACGCCCCCGTGAAAGACCAAAACAAAAAGCGACTCGTCAATTACTGCAGAATACCCATGTCAACGTTCACATCTGCTGAAAATACGTGCATCACGCTAGTTCAGGTCGATGCTGCTAGGCCCCTCACAGGCGTCGTGCCTGAAAATCCTCACCGATCATTGCCCGTCTCGGCCTCGGGGAGGTGAGTCTTCGCCGGCGCCACGAGGCAGGCTCGGGGTTTGCTGCTGCGGGTCGCTCGGGGTCAGGAGGACACAGCATACAATCTTTGAGTTTGCGGGAGCATCCGGATGGAACGCGCCGGATTAAGCATGAATCAGTGGACGTGGATGGCTTAGACCAGAAACTGACCTGGACATCGGTCTATGTGACGCTGGTGGTGATGATGGTGGTGTTGATGAGTGAACTTGCGAAGAACGAGGACTTCGCCTGTGCGCGCGCGTAGAGAGTCTGGGTTCACCCGCGGCAGCTGCGGTTCGGGACGGTGCTGTCCGCTGCATGACGCGGCAGGCTAGACCAAGACCACGATAACAGACCTGTGTGTGTGTGTGTGTGTGTGTGTGTGTGTGTTCCACTGCAGGCACTAGGAGCTGAATTATTGCCTGCGAGAAAGAGTCATGTTGAAGAATGGCCGAGGACGTCGTAGCGATACGAGGTGTAGACCGTGACATCCGGATCCCGCTTCGACGTCGTCGTACGTGTAGCCTCCGGTCATGGGTTTGAATATCACAGTGAAGATAATGCAAGTGTGGTGGGAAAAGGGGCAAGAGAGTTCAATGTTCGAAACTCGTCAGACATGTATTGATTCCTAAACACATTAATCATGAAGCGATTAAATCATTAGAAATGATTCATAATCCAGAACCAGGAAATCATCAAGGTCTCCAAATCAAACCCAACGCCTCTAAGCCAGTCCATCAAACCCGTGCAGTCTTGTCGTTCCGTAAAAAAAAGGCATCGATCCAGTCCGCGTACAAATCGTAGTCGTAACATCATTACACACACAAATCATCAGTTGAACAGTTTCTTGAACATGCCCTTGATGCCGCCAGACTTCTCCTTCTCCCGCTCCCTCTCCTTCTCCACATCTCTCGTCTTCTTCCTGCCCTCCTCGCGAGCTCTGCGGCGAGAGTCGTCCGGACTGGCATGGGAGTGATGAGAAGAATGCTTCGAGCGGGGCTTCTCCTCTGCCACTCGCCTGGCCTCCTCGGCGACCTGGTCACGCACTTTCTGGAGCTTAGCCCTGCCGCTGCCGTCTTCGGAATGGCGGCGGTGACGGTGCCTGGAACGCGTGGTGTCTGTCCGATTAGGAATGTCGCGAGTAGCCGCTGCGTCTTGGTGTCCTGCGTCGTCATCCATTGGCATGTCGTCCTTGGCAAGGGGGGGATCCTGAGGGGGGGCTGCTGCCGATGAAGCCGTACCTTCTCGGTTTCTGACGCTGAAGAATCGTCTAGGCCCTGTCCTGTCCGACGAGGGTTCTCGCACATCTTTGCGTTCTCGCTTGCTGGAGGTGCGCTCCGGGATAACGCGCTCGGGGCGGTTGTGCTCCGAGGTACTGTGACGACGAGAAGAACGGCGGTGGCTGCGCTCCATGGGTTCCTGTGACCTGTCGAGGATCTCTGGCTCCTTTCCCTTGGTGCTGCGACGGCGCTCTCTCTCCTTCTCCTCTTGCTCCCTCTCCAGCTCACGCTCGCGCTGCCGTTCCCTCTCTCTTCTTCGTTCTCTGTCTCTCTCTCTATCTCTTCGCTCTTGCTCCCTCTCCCGCTCGAGCTCGGCCTCGCGCTCGCGAGCACGTTCCTTGTCTCTTGCAAGTCTTCGCTCTTCCTTTCTTCTATCATGAGCTGCTTGCTCCTCAGGAGTGCGCTCAGAACGTCTCTCGCTTCTCTCCGTATGCTCACTGCGACCTTCGCTTCGCTCGCTGTGACGGCGGCGGCGGGTGGTGGTCTGTGTCTGTGGGCTTTCCGAGAAGCCACTGTCTTGTCTCTTGGGCGTTCTCGGGGGCGTGCTTGGAGCCGTGTCGCGAGATCGGTAAGATGATCGGTCGCTGTCGGTGCGGTGACGGCGGTGAGAAGATTGGTGGGAGTGAGACGAATGACGACGACTGCTGTCGCGGCCTTCTTCCTCAGCCCGGCGACTGGAGTATGAAGACGGATGGTGGGAAGAGTGGGAAGAACGGCGGTGTCGGCGGTGCTTGTCGCGCTCCTCCTTTCTTTCTATAGACTGGTTAGCACCAAACTCATTGACTGTATCCGCTCCCTTAGTGGTAGTACTCCTGCGTCTGGAAAGAAGGCTTGGTAGGACCCGCGAGAAAAATGCTCGAGCCTTCTTTGGCTTCATCTTCAACTGTTGATCCAAGCTGGGCATAGCCTTGATGAGCTGTGTGCTGTCCTGGGAGGAGGGACTGTTCGGAGGGCTGAGAGTCTGGGCCGTAGCATAGATAATCACGGCCGCTGCAACAAGTTCTTCGGCCCGAGCAACCGAGAGCTTGCGTTGCCGCCTGAGTGCCTTTGCCCTCGCCCTGGAGGCTGGTGATGAAGGATCGCAAAGATCGGGCAGGATCACAGCTGGAGTCGAGGGCCTGAAGCCGAAGACAGAGCTGCTGTCTGTTTGCGTGCCTTGATCTGAAAAACCTTCCTTCTCCACCGGGCTGAAGTTGGCATCCACGTCGACGTCTTCTGGCTTTGATCCCGTAAGAGTAGCGGACACTGACATTGGAATGTTGCCACCAAGAGTCTGTGTGAGCTTGTCTGAAGAACCGCGTCGGGAAATAGTTTCGTCGGAGTCCTTGCCAAGTTGATCTATGGCTACCAGGCCTGCGACGCCAGCAACACCAACGGCTGCAACTCCTGTGATGGCAGCATCTGCATCGTCGGCGTCTGGAGCGTCCTTTGTCGATTCTTCTGGTGCATCTTCGACAGGATTGGCTTCTGCTGGGGAACTTTCTTCTTCGACAAGTGCCTGATCCTCTTGCGGTTCAACGGGCTCAGGCTCTTGTACCTCGACTGCTTCTGGTTCTTGTTCGACTTGTTCGGCCTCTTGCTCAGGTTCTGGCTCGGGCTCAGCGGGCTCAGCAGACTCAGGCTCTTGTGACTCGGCTTGCTCAGGTTCTTGCGGCTCGACTTCTTCAGCTGCTTGTTCGACGTTCTCGGGCTCTTGTGGCTGAGCTTGCTCAGGTTCTGGCTCAGGTTCTTGCGGTTCAGTCTCAACAGGCTCAACGGGCTCGGCAGGCTCAGCGGTCTCAGCGGGCTCTTGCGGCTCAGGCTCTTGCGGCTCAACAGGCTCAGGCTCTTGTGGCCCAGCTTGTTCAGGTTCTTGTTCGACGTTCTCGGGCTCTTGTTCGACCTGTTCAGGCTCTTGCGGCTCGGCTTGCTCGTGCGCGGGTTCGGGCTCGGTCTGTTCGACAGGGGCGGCGTCCTCATCTTCAGGTGGGCTTGGCTCTGGCCCAGGCTCTTCAGCGGTCGTCGTCAAGTCCTCTTGCGGTGAAACCTCTTCTTCGGCTGGCGGCGCGCCATCGCTCCCTTGTGGCTGTGCCTCGGGGGCATCCGGGTCGGCGGCCTCTCCAGCTGGGACTTCGGTCTCCTCTCCAGTGGGCTCCGGTGCGGCATCGTCTTCCTCTGTGTTCGGGGCATCTTCCGGGACATCCTCGGCGGCGCCCTCGGGATTCTCTCCATCCGGTCCTTCCCGTGCATCTCCATCGGGGGAATCGGGGGAAGGAGGGGTATTCTCACCTGGTTTCTCTTCACTAGGAATCGGCGGCACCGAGTCCTTGCTCTCCTCAACATCCAAACCTCGTGTCTTCTCTCCTTCCGGCGCAGACTTGTCAGCCACAACAGCCGCAGCAGTCGCTCCAGCAGCGGCAACCGCTATTCCTGCGGCAATCTCGGCTGCATGACTATCCTCTGTCGCGGGTTCCGCTTCAGGCTCAGCTGGTGCAGATTCCTCAGCTGGTGCAGATTCCTCAGCTGGTGCAGATTCCTCAGCTGGAGCAGGGTCAGCAGGAGCTTCTTCAGCAGCCGGTTCCTCAGTAACAGGGGCTTCCTCAGGAACAGGAATTTGTTCAGCAGCAGGTTCCTCAGCCGGAGCAGGTTCCTCAGCCGGAGCAGGTTCCTCAGCCGGAGCAGGTTCCTCAGCCGGAGCAGGTTCCTCAGCCGGAGCAGGTTCAGCGGCGGCTTCTTCAGCAGCAGGCTCAGCGGGAGCCTCTTCAACAGCTGGTTCCTCAGCAGCAGGTTCGTCGACCGTAGAAGGTTCAGCCGGGGCTGCTTCAGCAACAGGAGCCTCTTCAGGGGCAGGAGCCTCCTCAGCGGCCGGGACTTCATCCGCAGCAGGAGCCTCTTCAGCAGCAGGAGCCTCTTCAGCAGCAGGAGCTTCAGCGGCCGGGGCCTCCTCAGCAGCCGGTTCTTCAGCCGCCGGGGCCTCATCAGCGGCCGGGACTTCATCCGCAGCAGGAGCCTCTTCCGCAACGGGGGCTTCTTCAGCAGCCGGGACTTCATCATCAGCCGCTTTCTCGGCAACGGGGGCTTCTTCTGGGGCCGGCGCTTCTTCAGGGGCAGGAGCCTCCTCAGTAGCGGGTGCCTCCAAAGCAGCGGGAGCTTCCTCAGCGGCGAGAGCCTCTTCCGCGACTGGGGCTTCTTCGACAGTTGGAGGGTCAGCAGGAGGTTCTTCGCTCGCAGCCGGCTCGGCAGGTGCCTCCTCAGATGCGACTGGTTCAGCTTGGGGTGCTTCCGCCTCAGGCTCAGCAGCTGCAGGCTCTTCAGCGGCAGGAGGATCAGCTGGCGACTCCTCAGCTTCAGGCTCAGCAGCAGGTGTCTCATCAGCAGCAACTGGTTCTGCGGATGGTTCCTCATTGACGGCTGGCTCGGCGGCGGGTTCATCGGGCGCCGCAGACTCAACAGCTGGTTCCTCCGTAACTGGTTCTGCTGGAGTTTCTTCTGCGGCCGCTGGCTCAGCAGCTGGCGCTTCTTCAACTGCAGCAACAGAAGCAGGCTCGGCAGCAGCATCTTTTGTAGCTGGTTCAGCCGGAGTTTCTTCCGCTGCAGCGTTCTCCTCTGGAGCTGGTTCAGCTGGAGTTCCTTCAGCTGCAGCAGGCTCGGCGGCAGGCTCAGCAGCAGGTTCGTCGGTGACTTGCTCAGCAGGGGCATCCTCAGACGCGGCAGGCTCCGCAGCAGGCTCAGCAGAAGGTTCGTCTGCGACTGGCTCGGCTTGGGGTTCTTCGGCAGGAGCTGGCTCTGCGGGCTTTTCCTCAGCCGCGACAGGCTCAGCGGCGGTCTCCTCTGCAACAGGCTCGGCCGCAGGAGGCTCTTCGGCCGCAGGAGGCTCTTCGGCCACAGGAGGCTCTTCGGCCACAGGAGGCTCTTCGGCCACAGGAGGCTCAGCAGCAGGCTCAGCAGCAGGTTCAGCAGCTGGCTCAGAAGCAGGTTCCTCTACAGCAGGTTCAGTTGGAGCTTCGTCGGCAACGACCGGCTCAGCGGGGGCTTCGGCCGCGACAGGTTCCGCAGGAGCTTCCTCGCCCTCAGGAGGGCTTGCCACGGCCTCACTCGGCTCGACCGGGTCGGCCTCGGGCTGCGTGGCAGGCTCGCTGGTCTCTTGAGGTTCAGGCGCAGCTTGCTCTGCCTCTGTGGCCTCGACGGGCTCCGGGGCAGGCTGCTCAGCTTCAGCCGTCTCAGCCGTCTCCGCTGCAGGTTGCTCAGATTCGACGGGCTCGGCAGGCTCGGGCGCAGTTTCACTGGCCTCGCCGGCTTCGGCCGCCGGTTCCTCGGGCCCGCTAGCTTCAACGGGCTGTTCCGGTTCGCTGGCTTCAACAGGCTCAGCTGCAGGATCACTCTCGGGTTCCTTTGCCTCGTCGGTTTGTGGTGCCTCAGCTGGTGCCTCGGCTGTGTCTGCAGAAGAGTCTGGCTGGGTGTCTTGCTCTTGGACAACCGCTTTTTCGACCTCATCACCGACGGGGCTTTCCTGAGTTTCAGGAGCGGCCTCGCTTTCAGCAGAGACTTCCTTGGGTTCTTCGGCAGAAGCTTCCGGTTGTTCGTCTGAAGGAGCAGGGGCGGGAGCGTCTTCGCTCTCGTTTTGAGTCTCTTCTGCTGGAGCGGTGGCTTCTTCAGGCTGAGCGTCTTCCTCTGGGGCAGCTTCAACAACAGGCTTGTCTTCCGCGGTCTCCTCTGCTGCGGGTGGATCGATTGCAGCGGGTTGTTCCTCTTCGACATTGCTTGGTTGGGCTGCGTCGCCATCGGCGGGGCTGTCATTGCCTTGTTCCTCACCCGCAAGGGTTTCTTCAGTCTCGGGAGCAGGTGCATCGGGCTGAGCTACCTCTTCGGCCGTGTCGGGGGCTGGCACTGCAACTTCTTGCTTGTCTTCGGCAGTTGCAGGCTGGTCCTCAACGCTTTCCTCAGCGGGCTGGGTGTCGGCAGGGCTCTCTTGAGCCTGCTCAGCACTGACAGCTTCTTCTGCGGGAGGTGCTGTCGTGGGTGCTTCCTCTGCAGCTGGGGCCTCGCCGCCGTCAACAGCCGCAGCCTCCGCGGCGGGGCTCTCGTCAACGACAGGAGCCTCTTCAGTAGTGGCAGGTTCAGCAGTGGCAGGTTCAGCAGTGGTAGGTTCAGCAGTGGCAGGTTCAGCAGTGGCAGGTTCATCAGTGACCGGTTCAGCAGCTGGCTCATCGGTGGGCTTTGGAGCATCGTCACCCTCGTCCTTGGTCTCTTCCGCCGGCGTATCGACGACTTCTGGCGCAGGGTCGGAAGCCTCGGGCTGTGGAGCGGCCTCGGTCTCGGTCGCTTCAGCCTTGCTTTCTTCCGGCGTCGAGTCTGCTTCAGCGGTGGCCTCGGCCACTTCATCTTGGCTGTCCGGCGCGGGCGCGGCCTCAGCGGTCTCCGCTTCGGTGCTCTCGGGGGCGAGCTCCGGCACGGCGGCAGGGGCTTCCTCGCTACTTTGCTCGACGGCAGGCTCTGGAACGTCGTCCTCCTGAGGAGTGGGTTCGGGCTCGGCTGTTTCCTCTGCTTTGGCATCATCCGGAGTCTGAGTTTCGGCCGGTTCGGCAGGCTCTGCGGGCGCATCGGCCGCGGTCTCGGCTTCCGGAGTCGGTTCCGGTTCGGCCGCAGGGTCCGCGTCCGCAACCGGAGTGGGCTCCACTGGTGCGTCGGCGGGAACATCGGCAGGGGTATCCTCCGTGGCAGTTTCCTTGGTTTCCGTGACTGGCTCTGTTACTGTCTTAGCATCCTTGGTCTCTGTGTTGAGATTTGCTTCCGAAAAGGTGAAGTCTTTGCCGTCGCTAATCAGTTCGTACTGGTCCATACCTTCAGTTGACACGGGTGCGTCTTGTGCTGCTTCCTCGTCAGGGGACGTTGAAACCGGATCCTCTTCGGGCTTGGCCTCGGGGGCAGCGTCGGCAGCTTTGTCCTCGGTTTCCTCTTCGGGAGAGGCTTCCTCGGTTGATGGCTGATCAGGAGTCTCCATTGGGGCTGCGTCTTCAGGCTGGATCTCGGCGGCCGGTACTTCTTCTGGGGTGATGCTGGCATCCGCTGCGGTCTTATCGGTGGGCGCCTCGGCGGGCTCCTCGGCGGCCGCTTCGACTGTCTCAGCCGCTGCTTCTGCCGGCGCCTCTGCTGGAGCCTCAACTGGTGCTTCAGCCGGTGTCTCGACTGGGGCCTCGACCGGTGCCTCGACTGGTGCCTCGACTGGCTCTTCGACAGGCTCCTTGGTAGACTCCTCGGCTGGAGCGGGCTCTTCAGCGGCCGGGTCAGCTGATTCGACTTGCGCCTCAGCCGTGTCTTCGGCTGGCTTTTCACCAGGACCATCCTCCGGGGCGGCTTCAGTTGGTCCATCGGTAGGTTGTTCGGCGGGAGTCTCAGCCGGCTCCTCAGCGGCAGCCGCGACTGGCTCTTCGCTTGCAACTTCAGCTGGCTGTTCGCCGGAAGGTTCCGCAGGCTGTTCGCTAGGAGCTTCAACGGCAGATTCCTCTTGAGGAGCATCGCTGGGCTTTTCCGCTGGAGCCTCGGCTACTGGCTCGGTGGCAGTCTCAGCCGGTGCCGCTTCGTCACTGGGAGGTTCGGGTGGCTGCCCGCTAGCAGCCTCAGCTGGTTCTTCGCTGACAGCCTCGACTGGCACGGCCGCATCATCAGGTGTAGTCTCGCTGACGGGTTCCGCCGGAGGTGTGTCGCTGGGCGGGTCCTTGGCTTCTGCTTCCGCAGTTGCGGGTGTGGTGTCAGGATCTGGTTGAGCAGCGGTCTCGTCTGCGACATCTGCCTTGTCTTCCTCCGCAGGCGCGGCGCCCTCGTCACCTTGCTGGTCTGGAGAAGCCGACTTTTCAGGCTGGGCGGAGGCCTCATCTTCAGGAGCGGCGGAAGCTTCGGGTTCCGCAACCTCTGCCGCCGCGGCTTCTGGCTTCTCTTGGTCCTCGGGGGCGACGGTCTCTTCGGTGGCGACAGTCTCTTCGGGTGTATCTCCTCCCTCTGCGGGATCGCTGGACGTTGTATCGGCAGCCGCTGATTCTTCGGCAGCCTCAGCAACGGGTGGTTCGATTTCTTCGCTCTTCGCTTCTTCGGGGGCAGGAGCATCCTCGGCAGGCTTGTCGCTTGCTTCCTCCGGTTTGATGGGCGCATCGTCGGCAGCCGGTACATCATCGGTGATGTCAACGGCCGGGGCATCTTGAGTTTCCGTTTGCTCAGCAGCAGCAGCCTCATCAGCAGCCTCATCAGCAGCCTCAGCCGGCGCAGCCTCCTCAACCGGCGCAGCCTCCTCGACCGGCGCAGCATCTTCGACTGGCGCAGCATCTTCGACTGGCGCAGCATCTTCAGCCGGCGCAGCATCTTCAGCCGGGGGGGGAGGATCAGCTGGAGCAGAGTCTTCGGGTGGAGGAGCAGCATCGGCCGCCGTATCACCCTCGGCCTTGTCGCCTGCTGCCTCCTCAGGAACGCTGGCGGTGGCATCGACAGCTGGAGGATCCTCAGACACTTCAGCGGCAGGCGGTTCTGTCGACTGTGTACTTTCATCTGAAGCCTCCGGTGCGGACTCCGGTGTGGGATCTGCTGGTGATTCGTCGGCGTTGTCGACCTTCTCCTCAGGCACAGCAGCTCCAGCGCTGTCTGCAGGGGCTTCTTCTGCAGCCTTAGCCTCGTCTTCTGGAGCGGCGGCTTCAGCACTGTCTGCGGGAGCAGCATCTGCAGCCTCGACCTTCTCGTCAGCGACGGGCACGTCTGTCGCATCTGGCGCGTCCGCGGGAGCATCAGGGGTGTCGGCAGGAGCCGCATCCTCAGCTTCCTGCTTCTCCTCCTCCACAGGAGCATCTACAGGATCTGAAGGTGCTGCCTTTTCCTCCTCCAACGTCTCGTCGGCCACAGGGGCTTCTGAGACTTCTGGAACATCTGCAGGAGCAGCTTCTTCACCCTGCTTCTCATCGTCGGCGGGTGCTTCAGGCGTGCTCTCAACCTTCTCCTCTTCCACGGGAGCGTCCGGTGCATCTGCGGGAGCGTCTGGTGCATCTGCAGGAGCTTCGGGAGCGTCCATAGGAGCTGCATCCTCATCATCCTGCTTGGTATCATCGACAGGAGCATCCGTGTTGCTCTCTACCTTCTCGTCGCTAGCAGGCGCGTCTGAAGGCTCTGTAGGAGCATCTGGAGTGTCTGCGGGAGCTTCTTCTTCTGCATTCTCAACAGCAGTGGAGAGATCTGCAGGTGCTTCCGCTTCAGCCGCAGCCTCCTCCTGCTCAGGAGCAGGAGCAGGCGTGTCTGAGGGTTCCGCATCGTTGTCCTCCTGCTTCTCCTCGCTGGCGGGCGCATCCGGTGCGTCTGAAGATGCCGCATCTGTCGCAACAACGGCCGCTACTCCAGCGGTCGCAATCGCGGCTGCGGCTGCAGCTGCTGGGACGGCGCTCGAGTCACCCTTATCGGCGTCGTCCTTGGACTCCCCAAGACTACGGTCGGTAGCAGGGACCTCTGGCTCGTCCATCTTGGGCGGCTTGGCGTCTTCCGCGGGAACGGACTTGGGGCTATCAACCGGCTCCGGTTCAGCCTCCTTGGCGCCCTTCTTCTTCTTTTTGTCCTTCTTCTTGTCTTTCTTGCTCTTCTTGGAGGATTCCTTTGGTGTTTCTTTGGGTACCTCCTTGGCGGACTCTTTGGACTTTTTGGAAGGTGGCGATGGCGGCGGCTCTGCAACGACTTCGGGCTCGGGCTCAGGCTCAGGCTCAGGTGTAGGCTCCGGTTCTTGCTCTGGCTCCTCCGGGATTGTTGGCTCGCGCTGAGGTTCCGGTTCCTCTTCGGGTTCAGGTGTCGGCTCCGGTTCTACAGGCGGTGGAGGGGGAGGAGGCGGTGCAGCTTCCTCCTTCTGGCCCTTCTTCTTCTTCTTCTTCTTTGTCTTGGTTATTGGCGCCCACTCTTCATCGGCGAAGACGGTTTCTTGTGGTGTCTCTGGTGCGGCGTACTCTGGGGGTGTTGGTGCTTCGTCGTAGATGGCCGGGGCTGGTGGTGCTGCGGCGGCCTTCTTGTCCTTTTTGCTCTTCTTCTTCTTCTTGCTACTTGATGAAGCTTGTGGCTGCGCGGGGTACACCTGACCGTTGGCGAATACGTCGTCGTCTTTGGAAATTAATAAGGTCAGAATTGGACAATGCGATATCAATTAAAGCATGCGCGGTACGTAGCTTTCTTACCATTCCGTAGCTCGTCATCCGAGGCTTGAAAGTAGTTGACCTTGGAGAAGTCCTGTGTCTGGACTTGGCCCCAGCCAACGTTTGCCCGGTACGGGCAGTAGTCGACCGGATCTTCATTCGAATTCATGCTGTCCGGGACTGGTGATTATGGGTGCCCTTGCCTAATCTGATACACAGTCAATGCAGATCCGGGGGTGATGGTCTGATGTTGTCTGTGGCGTACCTGGATGATTGGATCTTTTTGGTGAGAGTGAGATTGGGTGTTGTCTTTGCTCACGTTGGGTTCTCGATTGTCTTGTTGCAGTGTGTGGTGCCCAAACCAGAATCGAGAGGAATCGAGTCTCTTGGGCGGGTATCACGAAACTCAAAAGGAAGTACAGCTTTGTATCTCGTCGCCTATGAGACGAATGTAGCAGTGTAAACAGACAACAGATGGATTGATGATAGTTGGTGACCAGGAAGTGGCAGGTTTGTTGTCTCGGCTTGACAATGGATAGGGTAGGGGGAAATAAGGACCATGAATGACGGGATGCGAACTGTCCAAGGCACACCCAGGAGCGCACAACTGGGCCAAGACGTGGTAGAAAAAGTAGGTTCTCGACAAGCAGGGGGGAGCTTTCCTAGCAGTGCCAAACATCGCAAGCATCACTGGCTGGAGACAGGGTACAGGGCGCGGGAGTAAGGGGTCCCTGACGCAGGCGTACCCCACGTCGTCCCCACGAATGGGGACAGATTCGGGCAATCTCTGAGTCCAAGTGATCAACTGTCGTGCTCCAGAGCCATTGGCTCAAGTGAGGCGGGAGGAGACTGGCGCCACGTCGCAATTGGGTTGGTTTGGACTGGGGTTTGAGGCTTTTGGGAATTCGGGGGGCTTGACAGTTGGAGGGATAGATGATGTGATGAGAGACAGGAGAGACATGAGGGAGGTGAACATCGGACGGACCAGGAGCCGAGGTGAAGGAGGGATAATGGCTGCCCAACGACGATGCAATTGGGATGAAGCGGCCAACCGGCATAGCGAGGCGGCTCGACGATGGCGGGCATGAATGCCGCTGATTTCTTCCGGGATATGTACTTTAAATTATGTGGTCTTAACCCCTTTTGTCGTGAATTGTCTTCTTTTTGCTCTTCCGCGTAACAAAACCAAAGCTCTGAAAGTAAGAACACTTGCATCAACCCGATGAGCCCAATCCTAACCAGATATTCTTAAGTTCGAGAGGAAACTGAGACAAGTTCGGTCCAGTACTATGGGCCGTGTCTGAGACTAAGAAGGCAAGCATCAAGATTTGAGACAAATGCCACGGTTGAGAGACAGTCCAGACAACCGTGTTGAACCGTAGTCCTTCAGGGAAGACTTTTCAGACGTGAAATGGTCGGCCCAAAGAGGCATAGAGGGCCCCATTTATTCCTCTATCCCGTGTGCCTGTCTGAAAAACCTGAGAAACGGCAGCCGGTGAAGCGTCGAGTAACCGTTTGCTTAGCAGTCATGAGCTAATAATTGCTGTGCTGCGCTGGTCGTCAACGTCTGGCCCAGCGCACTCGAGCTTATCGGGCAATAGGAGACAGGAAACACGATGGGCCGGCCCACTGGAGCCAGGCGGATCCTTGCTGTTGGCTAGGTACATGGTGCCTGCCAGGACAGAAGGAAAAGATTGCCGACGGAAGAGTGGTTCCTGGAATCACACAACGGAGGACACCCTCAACCCAAGTGGTCTGTCATCCGTTGTTCGAGAAGATGAAGGGTGGACGAGGGAGAACCCGCGGGTTGGCTACATGCAGTCAAGCGGCAGGGTGAGATAGGTTGTATGTGTGTGATTCTGTGTGAGAGTTTTGTGTAAGCGGGAGAGGAGTTTCCAGCGTCCCTGAGGGCAGGTCGCAGCGGCAGGTACTGGTGACGGTGGGGGTTGGAAGGCGAAAGAGCGCGGTTTGTTTCTCATCGGCCATTTAACCCCCGGTCAGCGACGTGCAACGTGGCTCGCCTGGTTGAGGCTCGCCTGTGAAGATCCATGCAGCAGAGTCCGGACCGCGGGCTGGCGGGAGGGGCGGATGTGACTGCAGTGACAGCGATAGTGGCACCGGCCGTCGCAATGGTGGGGTTGGGCGGCGGTTTGTAGCGGTTTGTAAACGCAAGTAGAGTACAGTGAGTTACTCGGTAGACTTTTCGACGAGCAGAGATATGATGTTCAGGCGGAATTGCGAAAGCCAGCAAGCCAGTGCTGACCATGTCAGCATGGAAGACTGAAGTTGATATTCGCGCGCGATGCCCCTTGGAAACCTTGTGCCCGACGCGAAGGGTGCGGGTTGGACAGAGTCAGATGTACGCATACGCATAGCACGCATAGCCTCTGGCATGGTTGTCACTGGCGGGTCGTGGGGAGGTTGGCGTCTACCTGGGTACGAGAACGTAGGTAGCGGAGATTGGGCGGGATGATGGTCGCGGTGGATGGCTGAGGTAACCACATGGCTCCTCCCGAAGGACGGTGTGTGAGAGCTGCAGTAGCCCAGTCTGGCCCGAGGAGATGTGCAGCGAGTATGCGTCCCGTCGCGCAAAAGCAATTACTGCCATTGGCGCCGTTGATGCCCTGCGGAACCCGACTTGGTCCGACGACATGCCACAGACGGGGGACAAGATTGAGGGAGATGCGATGGGCCGCAGAGGTCGAAACCCGGGGGTTGGTTGGGCGCTGAGAGCACGACAGCCGACGACATGGCCGCTGATTAGTGCCAACTTCTGTCTGGCAGCGACATCCATTCAGGCTGATCCCGACAATGGGTGAACAGTTGGCAGGTGTCGGTGGTTGCCCGTTGACGGACGCCCGTCGGGCTGGCAGGGCATTGAAGCTCACGGTGAGGCCATCGCGATACCGAAGGTGATATCGAGTGGTATCGTTACTGGGAACACGAGGCGAAGTAGATGACTGGCTGCTATCGTCTGTGAGGTGTCTTGTTGTATTCGCGTGATAGAGGTAGAATTGTCCGATCGCGAGTTGTTTTTGTTGTTCATGCTGGACGAGCAACGGTCCATGGATGTTTCCTGGGCAGATGGAAAAAAAATTAAGTTGGCCCTTCAATTTACCAGCTCAGGGAAAAGGAAGGTCGGGTGCCATTCCATTCCGTTGTTCTGGAAGGCGCACTGGCCGCTGTCACGTCACCGCCAGTGCTTTGGGAAGGGCCGTTGTGACCCTACAGGGCACCATGGGCACCGTTGGGCTGGAATGCCAGCTCAAAAGTTGGACGTGCCCTGTAAACGTCTGGGATTAGGGCAGAAGAAAATATGGCGGTAGTGCGTTGGGCGCTAAATGAGACAGAAACACAGCAGACACAGGCCATGCTTCCAGCGCGCTTGTCTCTGCCCGTGAGGTGAGGGTACCGTCTCTGAGAAGCCTGCTCTTAGCTGCCGTAATAAACATCTCGTGTGGACCTCGATAAGAAACAAGTATCGGTATCCCCGTCATCGCCCAATATCTACGCAAATTGAGTCCAAAGGTACTTTTGCAGCATCGCCGGACGCCCGCTTCTTCAGCAAACGTCCCGCACCACCCGCCTCGTCCACCCACCGTCCATGGCCTCACTCAACCCTTAACAATTTTTTGCATGAACACGTCGTGAAGCCTCATTTTCTTTTCTCCTGATGGTCGAGTCCACTCTATATCATCGAGATAGCATCGTCCAGCGCATAGCGACCCCGCCCGTTTTTACGGAGACCGTAACTCGGATCACGGCTGAGGCCAACGAGGCCTCCGGATCGCCATCGCCGCCACCTCGACGCCCACGGGGAAATTGATCGTACCTTCGGATGTCCATCATCACGATCGGTCACTCCTGACGACTGGCGGTGTGCCGAGACACGTGAGCAGTGGCTTCTGTCCCGGTCCCGGTCAGGTGGGACCCTCTCACCTCGACTCAGGCGGCCAACACCGCCATGATCCATCGAGCCCAAGTGGACCGTCGTTGTCTCGCCCGCCGCTCACCGGACCAGACACCGCTGCAGCGCGGCTGCGTCTCCGGCGCATAAGCCAAGCAACCCATTCTAGTTCTAGAAGGACCCTGGAAAACAGACGCCAGCGATGCATTCCTGAGTTACATAGGTTTCCAATGATAGACACTGCATGTATTCCTTACACCGACCCTTCTAGCTTCTCAACAATGGTCAATGTGTGTTCTATGAAGACTTGGACGTAGACGTAGACGTAGACTGTGTAAAGTACCCTCCCGCAACGCAGAAAAAGCTTGTCAAACTCCCTTCAGCCTCCACAACCGCGAGATTCCCATCGAATAGCACCCAAGTGCCCCAAAACGCCAACGCCAGTAGACAGGTCTGGAAAGGGGAGAGGGGCTGGCTGGCTGGCTGCGAAACATGTGAACCAAGGCCGCGCAGGACGTCTTCTCCATCACAGCACGTCCTGCGTTCGAGCGTGCTTGTGCCTGTGCGCTGCGAGGTATGTCGTGCAGCGTCCACTTCTCTCGGGCAAAGGACCATTCGCATGGCACCTCGGTTTCCCCTCGTGCGCACCGTAGTTCCATGCATGCCTCCAGAAGCCCCCGTCCCAAACCAGGAATGCTATGCCACCACTCTTGACCGTCCCCACAGCATCACTTGACGTCTTGGGCCCCTTACATGGCCATCTCCGCCTGCAGCTTGCGGAGCTCTGCCTCCTCGTCGTCCTCCTCGACAGCGACGGGCGTCTTGCCTTTGACTGCGCGGCTATGATTAGTCATTGGATCTAGACCGGGCGTGGATGATGGAGGATCCTTACGTTCTCCGTTTGCCGGAGCGGGCATGCGGTGCACAGCATCCGATACGGGAACCGAGCCGGTGCTGATCATCTGCTCGTCCAACTGCTCCTGCTGCATCTGCTCCAACTCGTCCTCCAAGTCCACGTCGTCGATGGCGTCCGTTTGTCCCGTTGTGATAGCGTTGACAATTTCTTCGCTGAGTGCGTTCTGTTCTCGAAGGTCCTCCCTGCATTCGCTGGTAAGTACGTCGAAACATCTTGATGCAATAAGGTTTGGGGACATACATGGTCTGGTCCACCTTTTCGACCGTGAGCTTGCCGTGAATTCCCTTCATAGCTTGGCCAGCCTTCTCCATAGCGAGCAGTGTCTCGCGGTTGATGTTCGCAGACTCGATAGCGTTGATTTGGGACTCAAGTGTCGTGATTTGGGAAACTGTTTGCTCCAGGCTGTGCTCGTGGCCCTTCTTGCGGCGCAGGGCAGCCTTTGCGGCTATCGGAACATTTCGTTAGCACCCAGGCCTACAAACCATGAAATACCGCTTGGCCTGCTCACCGTTCTTGTTTGTGTTCACATTCTTCCTTGCGATAGCATCTTGTTCGTCCATCAAGTTTTGCAAGTGTTTCTCTCTCTTTTGCAGCATATCGAGCTGGACTCGCAGGCCGAGGATCGCATCTTTGGCATCGTTCTTCTTCTTGGCGCCACCGCCGCCGCCAAACCAGCCCCAGACGCCAGACATGATGATTTTCGCTTCGCGGTAGTCGGAAAGAGGGTATCGGAAAGTGTCGTTCGAGGAGATGCGAGTCGGTTTTGAGGATGTGCGCAGGCAGCTACGGCTCGAAGGCAGCCGTGGTATCGGGTTGCGTGGCAGCAGGCCGAAGTTTGATGGCGGGGTACCGAAACAGGACGCAAGTGGGCACCAGGCGTCGTCAACGAACCGTGGAGCGGATAAAGGGTATTGGCGGACTCGAGTAATGAGGCTCTAGATGGTGCGACGAAGGACTCGCGGCCAGCAGGTCGAAATATCGCGAGGGCCGATAGGCAGAAGGCTGAGAGATAGAGTCGAGGTACGTAGGCAGGTATGATGCAAGCTCCCGACTGGCTTAGCGATGCCGTTTAGTGGGCGGCGGGCGATGACGGTGCTCGCCCAGCAACCTTGGGCGCCTGATTCCTCCGCGGTTTAGCCGGTCAGATGACCCAGTTCCGCCGCGCACGTGAGGCTTTTCCGAGACCGATGTCTTATCGCCTTATCAGAAGAGTCTGCTTACATAATGCAGCATCGGTCCGCCCAGTGAGTCGAGCTTGCTGGTAAGATACTGGCGGAGAGATGCGTTGACTGCGGAAGGCACCCTTCTCTTCCACTCCGTTTAAACGTCTGCTCAATCCTCGCATCGTCATATTTCAACCGCAGTCATCGACGATAACCGGACATACATGAAGACACTGCGTCCACAATGCTACCATGACACCATCGCCTTAGACTGACAATCGCATCAACCATGTCAAGGGGCCCACTCCCCTCAAAGCTCAGTCTCCTGTCAGACTTGCCTTCCAAACCTCCAGGCGAAAAGGTGCGGTTCTTGGGATGGTAGGGTGCCCAAATTCATAACGCAACGACGCTCTTCATAATACGACGTCCGCTCCTCGTTATCGGGAGTTTACCGGTGCTTTCTCATGTTCTGGCTACTGACTTGGCTCCAGTGTCACGTCCTATTCAATGGACTCGGCTGTGCTTACATTACACCACGAATCCCCCAAAGGATCCAATGTTAGTGCATTGGTCGATATCAACCTCCTTCTCGGCAACCTCAAGTCAGAGCAGACACGTATTGGCGAGTGGGTGAACGTGGTCGGCTATCTCACGCCTGCCTCTTTGGGAACACGGGCCAAAGGGACGACCCGCGAGCCGCAGCATGTGGCCGTTCAAGCGCTGATGCTCTGGTCTGCCGGTCCGCTCAATCTTCAGCGGTACGAGGCGACGTTCGAGAAATCATGAAATAGCCCCCGGATGGGTCTGCGGCCGATGCTCTGACGAGGCAAAGCGCACCCCCTGAGGGTGAGGGGGTACGGGTATGCCACCTGACTTCGGCACACTTCGACATACCCCTTCCTACGCCGTGAATAGGCAGACGTGTCACACATACTCTCTGCTCACCACCCTGACCGGCCAGCCTTGCTTCGCTCTTTGGTCCCTCCACACAACGCACCATGACACCTCGATAAGAGCCAGTGCTTCCCGATCATTGATGGATTCATGCTTCACGGGTTGAAGTCGGACACGGGCCGAAATTAGTGTCGGGATTCGCATACCTTCGGGACGTCCCACTGAGCAGCCATCTTCGGACAAAACACGTGCTGTCGTTGGTCCTCACAACTTATTCGGTTCGACTTCTATGCAACTTGTCTATTTGGGAAAAGCAATTCAAATGCCTATTGGGTATCTGGACGGGACGAAAAGCTAGCTGGTCGCATTCGCCGACGCGCTGTTTCGCTATGCGCCTCTTGCAACAATTCCGCATACACATACCTATTAGGAGCAATGGGCAGACAACGCCGGAGTCGTCGGTCGTCACCATTGGCCCCCAAAAATGCCAGATGGCAGGCTGTTTCTGGACCATTCTGGGACACAAAGCCAGGCCTGTCCCAATCAGACAGACTTGGTTATACTGCTTCGTCCACCCGTCACTCAACCAGTCAAAAACAACGAGAGTCCGGTCGGATCCACCGTCCGCTGCGGCCACCAGGCCACACAACTCAGCTTCCCCTCACCACCAGCAACACCTTCGTCGCATATGGTAGCGTCTTGGATCATCAAATCCCACAAATTTCGTGCCGTTATGCATGAAAGAGCTCACTCGGCCGCCTGCAACGCCTGTGTCGTCTGTGTGCTTAGATCCAAAGAAAACTCTGGCCCAATCTGAGATCTCGATCACTTCAGTCCGGCTCCGCCGAACCGCTCAACATCATTCACGTCGCCTATCATCGTAACGTCGATGCCGCTCGTGGCTGCGGTGTGCATCGTGTCTCCTTCGTGACGAGTCGTTCGACCCTCTGGATATGACCACCGGCTGGTGCAGCGGTCTCTTGAGAGGCTTGTCGGCCTCCTGAGCCCTAATCGCGGCTTGTCGCTCCCACATTTCTTTGGATTTCCTGCAGATATCGTCGATTTGTTCCTGTGGCAGGCGACGGTGGTCAGTGGCTTACAGTTCTGCGCCAAACAGGGGCAAGCGACGACGAGGCTCACATCTGTTAGGCAGGGGCCTGGGGTAGTGATGAGGAAACCATCCTCTCCCTATTGATGCTGTGAGAGGCGTCTCGGGCATCTTGTCTGAGATGTTCACACCTCGTTTGTGTACGGTCTGACCGTCGCATCCGGACCAAGGTAGTATGGAAGCTCTTGGGTGATGATCTTTTTGTGGATGTCCAACCTGGGAATCCAGTATCTGTTCATCTCTGACGACGAGGGCATGGCTATGGCGATTGTTCTAGCATGAAGGAGGTGATCTGTCTATCCAGAAAACCGGGGTGTATAAGATGGCGCATGCTGTTCTTGGTTGATGGTGATCAGGAGGACGACGACGGTATTTATCTTCGCCAACTATGCGACCATCAGGGCGTGCCAATCCTCACGCACTGCATTCAAGTGGTGATTACGAGTGTACAAGCCGTATTATTATTGCACCAAGTGCAAGACAAGAAAAGCACTTTCACAGTCTTGCCCTTTTGGGTTCAGCTGTCGGCATCCTCACCGCTTCGAGTTCTCAGTCGTCAGAACCTGCCTCTGTTATGCCTGCATGCAAGGCCTTACGCCACATACCTTCATTGTCTTGACGGTTTCTCATAAGTGGGAACCATCCATCTGGATTGCGTTCCATCTCACAGGTTGGGGGGTGTGAGCCTGCAGTAGATAGGCAGAAAAGTGAGGCGGACGGCACCCACCCATGACAAGTCCGCCTCACACCCGCCATTCAAATCCCTCGCCACTACCAACCACGAATCACATATGAACAAACCCCGTCATGTTCGGAATCACCACGAAATTGAATTCGATAATTTCGGCCGTTACCCTAGCCATCGAATCAGACGTCGGGTTCTCTCCATTCGTCACTTCTCGACTATGGATCATTCCGCTGCAAGATCCAATGACGACTCCCGGCTGCAGCTTCTGCAGGTCCGTCATTCTCGTCGTCGCCATCCGCGAACATGCTGATATGGATCTCGTCCTCGTGGCTTCCTGGATTTTCTCTCAGCTTATGTTTCCATTCAGGGATGGACCTGGTGGGTGGGTTAGGTAAGGCGCCGTTGGTCACTCGCAGCCAAGGGTGCCGATCATGTCGATCGTGGTTTCTGACTTCAAGGCGAACATGCGGGGAGAAGTAACGGCGGCCACTCATTGTTCCAAAGGAGGTTATATATCAAGGATGTCGATTTCTTCAACAATCCGGATGAACCCTGGACCCTTCCCGTCAACACTGTTGGTCCCGGATTCCTGGAACCCAGGGCTGCCGTGATCGGCGCCGTCCGCGCCGGATTTGTCGGCTTTCGAAGTGCCGATGGATAGTAATCAGTAACCCGCCACTCCTTCAAGACCTCGCCCCCTCCTTCTCCCCGCTGGTGGTGTGCTGTTCAACTTCCTTCCTAATGACGATCCACGATATCCGAGACACCATACCTTTAAGCCGGATTCGATGAAATACGACAGCACAAGTTTACACCCATCATGAATGGAACTTGACCACGAGGCTACCCTCACTGCACCTTCGCCAATGTGAATCCTTGCCATCACACGAGGCGTGCTCGCTGACGGTACCATATGTGCTCGGAATTGTCTGACGCATCTGGGAGGCATTGATTCGGTAACCCAGGCGGCGTGCTTCCTCGGTATATCCTTGATCGTACGATGAAGCGAGCATTCTAAGGGTGCATACACCGAGCGATGCAACGTTCTGCCGAGGACAGGCCGGGCCCCCATTGCGACAGCAGAACCCCGCACTGTTGCTGCTTGACCATCAGAAGGATCCGTTTAGCTCGCTCACGGCTTCTCACTATCACCTTCGCTTCCAAGTATGAGACAGACGACAGCCTCACTGCGATGCCAGGATCAAGGAATTGACATTGTCACCAGCCGGACAGCTCAGTCAGGCGGAGTGAGCTTCACCTCCGGACATGTCGCCAGGTAGAGTGGGCCATCACGGACAAAGCCTTGTCTCGTGGCCAGGTCGGAGTCGACACCAATGCGTCATTTTCAAGTACCTATACGATGCTTTTGCTGAAGTGCCAAACATTCTTGAAGCGCTCGCTCCGGTTGGATGGAGGTCAAGATTAGGGTGAGGGTCTGTGGACTGCTTGAGCCGCACGAGAGCTTAGCCTGTCAGCCCCTCTTGCTAGTGCCCTAGCTGGCTCGACCGAAAGAGCACATTGACCAGGGTCCTCTTGATGGGGCAAGCAAAAATGCGCAAGAGATGAGAGGAAGGCCACCAATCACTGGGAGGCACCGTCGCCGGAGCTGCAGCCGTTGCTGCTGTCCACATCGTCAACCTTGGCTTCATTATGCTTACGATTCATCAAGCCTCACAAAATCGATATGGCTAATGTTTTCATGGCCATACTGACACAAATCGGCACCTCATCCTTCAACGTTGCTCCATTCCCACAATGGTATGCTGAACATGGAGCGTGAACATGGAGGGTGGACACATCAATTGGTCAAGGCCTAGGCAGGTAGAGTCATGATTGAGACCATATCTCTTGTTTCCTTACTTCTTCCATGTTCAACCTTCCAATGATGACCGTTATAGGGCCGTTAATTAGAGGCAGCTAAGGTTCCTATCGCGAGCCGCTCCGTTGCTACATGTAGCAAATGATGATATGCTATGTAGTCAACAGCGTGGCCGATTCTACTCGCACCATTTCTTTTGATGAACATGATTAAAGTTGATCATGTGAGTAATTGAATCTGTCAGAAGTTGTATCATATTCCTGAATTGAATGGAATTGAGCCATATTATCCAGCCGTCACCCGGCAGCATGTGGTCTAAATCAGGCTAAATATCATCATGTAGAGCACATGGAATCACAACACCGAGCCCACCATTCAACCACGCCTGGACGTTAGACTGATGGTCGTTTAAGTGATGCCAAACTCCCGCTGTCTCTTTTGGGTAGTTTGGGGCGCCATTCTATACGATTCGGCTTCCGTATCGGGGCGCGTGGGTGGCCAAGCCCGTTTGTTGTCGCTCGATGAGGTAGGATTCGGACTCTGCTCGTCCTCGTAGGTTTCCACTCAACTGGATTTTGGGATTGCGTTGCAGGCCTCGCATACAAATAGTGGATGCGTCAAGTCCACGAGTGAAGCCCAGCTTGGCAATGCAGCCTCCCCAAGACGGTTTTTTTGCCTTCTTCCAAATGAAGATACACCTATCTACGATATCACCATTTGATTCCCGCTCAAGGAGCCGTTACAGAGGACGAAGTGCACGCAAGCATCACGGTATCTAATCCTGGGGGGTTTAAATACTCCCCCGTCACCTTGAATATCTCCGGTCCAAATCTCTCTATTTCTAGGTTACCGAGTCCTTCGACCGCTTGATCAAAGATCCCGGCTCACCATGTATCCCTTTTCCATCTTGGTAACATTCCTGGTCGCATGCGCTTCCGCCGCAGCGCAAGACCAATCTACCATCTCTCCCTCCACCCCATCACCCACCAGATACATACCTCAGACTACAACAATCACCCCTCTCCCCAAGCTAGCCTTTGCTCCAACCTCCCTCGTCACCGTCACAATCACGAGCTGGACGACAACCATCGTAACGGTCACGGACATCGACACCGTCATCGAGACCGTGACGCAATGGATTTCCCCGCCGACGCCCACATCCACCATACGCTTGACGACGCCAGCAAGCTCCACGACGTCACGGCCGACGACGCAGGCACCGCTGCCTGAACCGACGCAGACGAAGTATGGACAATGCGGCGGGTCGGGGTACACCGGCGCGACCAAGTGCGCGGCTGGATCGAGCTGTTCTGCGGTTTCGCCGCCCTGGTACTACCAATGTTTGTAGTTGATAGGACAGAGGTCGTGGGTAAAATTTGAGCTATCGCTTACAATCAAATTTCGATTGCCTGTTTCAGACGTTGCGGTTTCCGTTTTGGAAGGCTTTGTAATGGGCGGTCCTGATTCAGGCAGGAGACCCCGAGGTGTGGCCCACTTCCGATCCGGCCGATTCGCTCCCGGGACGGATGTGGGCGCCGCCGACTCAGAATGGTCCTCACCGACGTCTTCGAGATCTGTTATCAGGGTAGAAAGCCATGCAGCTTCGATGTGTCGCCGAGTGAGTCACGATGTTTCGAGCAGATAGTATGAAGATGGCGTCCGGGTGTCGGCACCTTCAATTGATTAACGGCGGTGAATCCGTCGTATAATTGTCCCCGTTCGCTGCATGGTATTGTTCATTCTTAATAGGTACTATGTCAATCGAACTTCCTTCTTTTCAAACAAAAAACCAATTGACATGCTGCTGAAAACGTTCGAATTACGTTCACTATGTCTACCAATAAAATCCTTGTTCTCGGGAGCGGTCTCGTCGCGAAGCCCTGTGTTGACTACCTCCTTCGCGATGAAGGAAACAAACTGACAATTGGTTCTCTTCCTATCCCAGTTCTTAGTATTGACAGCCGCTGACTTGCAATTCAAAAGCCTGCCGAACCCTTGGCACGGCAGAGACCCTTGCTGCAGACCACCCCCGAACGACTGCGATCGTCCTCGATGTAGGTTCTCCTGAGTTGGACGCCCGGGTCGCTGATCATGATGTGGTGATCTCCCTCGTGCCGTTTATCTATCATCCAACAGTGATCAAGGCGGCAATCCGGGGCAAGACCCACGTCGTGACCACGAGTTACGTCTCGCCTGCGGTCCGAGAGCTGGAAGCCGAAGCCAAGGCAGCTGGGATCACGGTTCTCAACGAGGTTGGAGTCGATCCTGGAGTTGACCACTTGTACGCCATCAAAACCATTGATGAAGTGCATGCCAAGGGCGGAAAGGTGGGAAGCTGCACTGGAACCAGTTCCGGAGCACCGCTCTTGCTAATGTATTGCGCCAGGTCAAGGAGTTCTACTCATACTGCGGCGGTCTGCCTGCTCCGGAGTGCGCCGATAACCCCCTTAAGTTCAAGTTCTCCTGGTCCCCGCGCGGAGCTCTACTGTCGCAGTTCAACTCGGCATGCTTCCTCCAGGATGGCAAGGTGTTTGAGATCTCCAATCAGTATCTCATGGCGCACGCGGAGCCGTACCACGTCGTGGACGGGTACTCCTTCGTTGCGTATCCCAACCGCAACTCCGTCCCGTTTCGCGAGTTCTACAACATACCCGAGGCAGAAACGGTCATCCGCGGGTCTTTGAGATATGCTGGCAACCCGGCTTTCGTGGGGGCGCTGATCAGGATGGGGTGGTTGGACACACAGCCCAAGGAATGGCTGGCCACTAAGAATGAAGGGCTGACTTTGAAGGAGGTCTTGGGAAGATGCATCAACTCCAAAGACTTTGATGAAAAGTATGATGGCTTGTCTTTGGTGTATACTAGAGATGTTCGCTGACTTGCACAGGGCCTTGATCAATCGTACCGAAGAGCTTTGCGACTTCACTAGTAACGCTGAGAGGAAGGATATCATCGAAGGCTTGCGATGGATCGGTCTGTTCTCTGACAAGCCGGCCACTCTTCGGGGCAATCTTCTGGACACTCTATGCGCCGAACTCGAGAAGCTCATGAGCTTCCAACCTGGAGAGAGAGACCTGGTGATGCTTCAGCACAAGTTTGTTGTTGAATGGAAGGATGGTTCCAAGGTAACGGGATCCCTGTCTTGTTCATTCATAGTGTGGCCCTTGAAACTGACGGCGGCTTCTGGGTAGGACACAATCACCTCAACTCTGGAGCTTCTTGGAGAACCAGATGGGTACTCGGCGATGGCCAAGTCGGTCGGCGTAACTTGTGGCATTGCAACTCAGTTGCTACTCGACGGCGAGCCTGCGCTCAATGTCCCTGGAGTCTTAGCCCCCTATAAGGCGGAAATCTGCGATCCTATTCGTAAGGCAGTTGAGTCGGAGGGGATCGTGCTGGTTGAGAAGACGCTTTAAGGGGACAATGTTTTCGGCCCAGTTCAGCTTGGCTCCGTCTTAAACCCAACAGATATAAAGCTCTTACCACGAGAGCGAAGACTTCGATATCAATTAAGCTTGTGCTTTTGCTACCGACACTATCATTTTTCTCCTAAACCAAACATCTTCACGCTATTTCTCCATGCAGCATCCGCCACCTCCTCCACGGTGATTCCCTTCAACCCAGCAACCACGAACGCAACTCGATCCATCGTACAGCTCTCATTGCGCCCCTTTACCATCAAGCCCAACTCGAACTTGTCTTTCTTCTTACTCTGGGGCAGACTCGGGGCGTTGGTAAGGTACTTTTTCGCCACCTCCGAGCCGGCAGGGATCTCTCCCCAAGGCGCATCTGTCTCGATCTGCAGCCGGTCCAATGGAATTTCTCGGACCATCTCCAAGCTTTCCCTGTCCTGGAAGCTGAAGCCATTGACACTAACGTCGAAACCCATCTCAACCAGCCCCTTCATCTGCTCCGCGCTCCCCACGAAGGAGTGCACAAGTCCTCGTCGGGGAAGATTGGGGAGGTACGGCTTGATAACCTCCACAAAGTCATCATACGCTGCACGACAGTGCAAAAAGAGCGGCAGATCAAGTTTTTCCGCAACGAAGAGGTCTAATTGGCGCTTGAACGTGCGGACCTGCGCTTCCTTGGAGGCGTGATTGAGCCGGTCGTAATCCAGACCCAGCTCACCGAAAGCGGCCAGCAGACTGATCCCACCAGACGTCGGGACTAACACATCACGGACTGTCTGCGCGAGCTTGGCAAAGTGGCCGTCCTCGCCGCCATCCGGTTCTGTATCCGGTTCGGCTGCGTGGTACGGGTGGATGCCGATCGTGACGAAACATGAACCCTCTGGGCGTGATTTTGCGATGGATAGGTTCGTTGCGGCATCCGAAAGAGACATGCCCGTCAGCATCACCTTCTCAACGCCTGCGGCGAGCGCGCGGTCGAGCACTGCATCGAAGTCTGGTTGGTGATACTGTTTGCCTCTGTAGATACCTGCGAAATCCTTTGCGGTGGCGGTAACTGCGACCTACTCGGATGATTAGTACGATGAAAACTGAGCACGTATTAGTCGTATGGGTTCCGCTTACATCTGCAAATCGGAGTTTGGTTGACGGTTTAGCTGGGGCTTGGGCCGGAAACCCGGCGAGGAGGTCGGATGCCATGCTTGCACTGCTTTACACTGTATTTTGACCTGTAGTTTGCCGAGTGCAATGTGACGAAGTCTAAAAGAGGTTGGTGACCCAATTACATTACGTTAATGTGACAGAGGATCGTGTGTTGAGTTATTTGGTTTGACTGTGGCAGACTGGAAGTTCCCCCACGTTCCTCCCGCTTCGACGCTAGTGCAGTCTTCGACTTGGCAGCCCCGGTGTCGGCCGGGCCGGGCCCCGGGATGGGGATCGGTGCGGAGGCTCCGAAGTTTGGCCAATGTCGCACCAGATTCCGATTCGACTAAAAGCTGTGAGTTGACGAGAGATGTCGATTCAAGGGCGTACTTGAACTTTATTCTCAGCCCTATGGTGTACAGATTGAGCTTACCGGTGGACATGGGTAGCTCCTGTGTACCCCACTTCGGGCTTTCGGCACAGTCCTCATGAAGTAAACATCAAGAATAAACCAACTTGAACTGGAATTATCATGTGTCATGGATTCATCGCATGGTAAGATCTCCATATTGCCGTACCGGGAGCATCGACCGGTTGTCATAACCGGCCGTCAAACTCCTGCGCCTATCTTTAGAGATAATAGCTGATGATAGCGACGCATTGCGTGGTAAGGCTACTCATGAATGAACACTGATAAGATAGAGACATTGTGAGATTTAGAACGATGAAGAAAGATCCTCTAAGTTGTAGACTAAGTCTAGTGGTTGAACATCTCTCTTCATTCGAGAGATCAAACACACGCAATGTAAGCAGGCGACTTAGACGCAGTGTGAAGAGTTCGTTAGGGTCTCTAACTCATGCTTATTTCATTCACGACACCACTAGAACCAATTTAAAATGCCCGAACTCAAATGAGATGTCCCTTATGCCAGCTCCTTCTCAAGAGCATCTGCCATCTGTCCCAGCGTGTCAAACTTGAAGTCGAAAATCTCAACATCCCTGTTCCCCATGACCGCACCGGGTCGGACAATCCATGACGACTTGATACCCGCCTCCTTAGCCGGGTGATGGTCATGAAACTGGCTCTGAGCCGTTTGCAGCACCTGGTCCTTCTCCACACCAAATGTCTCTTTGACCTTCTGCAGCATGTAGCTGAAGTTGCGCTGGTCAGGCTTGTAAGACCCCACATCCTGCGCAGTTACCACAAGATCAAAATGCACACCCTGAAGCGGGCCGGCGTTGCTCTTCGCAAAAGACTCGCGGTCGACGTTGGACAGAACGACGAGTTTGTAGAATTTTTGAAGACGGCGCAGCGCGTCCACGGTGTCGGGAAACGCAGGCCAGTTGCCGACTGAGTCGCCGAAGGCCTTCGAAGCCTCGGCCGTCGGAGCTGCGAGGCCAAGTTTCTCAGCAATCTGGGGATGAATGGTGGCCACGAGCTGGTAGTAAGGCATGTCTGGCGTCTTTGTCTGCTGCTTGGCCTCAAGCTCGTGGTAGACGTCCAGGAGGTGCTTGCGGGTGAAGTCTGTGCGCTTGTTGTCGTCCAAAAGGGGCTGCAGGGCCGTGAGCATTCCGCCTTCCCAGTCGATGAGAGTTCCGTAAACGTCGAAGGTGAGAACGCGGAAGTCCTTCAAGCCAGGCATTGCGACTGATCGATGTGAACTTTGGTTATCAAGGTGAGACTTTGATGAGAAATTAATGATAGCGATCTTGGCGAAATGCGGGGTTGATGGTACTGAATCTTGGCTTGAAGTTCGAGGGCAACTGTAACTCTTTTAAGACAGAGAGAGATAGTGAAGATATTTGTGTATTGTTGATTACTGATACTTCTGTTCGTTACATGTAGAATCAACCTTCACATTGTCAATGTCGGAAGCTTCAACGTCAATCCAAGGGCGTAGCAAAGTCCCCACTTCGACCGGGTGGCGGTTGGCACCGGCCCGGGCGCAGCCGGAACCGGCATGTACCTTTGGAATCTCTCGGTGCTTGAAGATACAGGAGTCTCGATGCATTTGTGGCGCCAGTCCAACTAATCCACATTGCATTCGGCAACTGTTTGTTTTTCATTGCCTGTGGGCGAAGACTTTAGCATGATCTCCCAGGTGATTAAGTCTGCAGTGGGATAATTCACAGGGTGGGACTTTGACCTGCCAACTCCTGCATAGGAAGCTTTCCCAAAACCTGCGTGTAAGACAGGAACGCAGATCTTTGTTCTTCATTTTACTACCTTCAATGGCCGAGGACTAACAAATGACTCTTTTAGATAATTACATAAAAAAGTATAACTCCTCATCTCTTCGTAGATTAGCAGACTCGGAACTCTCCCTGCTGTGTCCCTGTCAAGTGACCGAATGATGAACACTCCGAGGAAACCCACCTTCGACTAAGGCATCTACCAGCTGCTGATTTCCCGCTCTTTCCGCAAGATCAAGTAGGGTTCTACCACATTCATAGCACCTGTCCTTGAGACCGACTCTCTCGACTGCGTGGCAGAATGCGACATAAAAGTCATCTGCTCCTGGCTTTGGAAAGGCTTTGACTGCGAGCAAAAACTCTTCCTCCTCAGTAGAAGCCGACTCCACTTGCTTTTCTGTGGCGTCATCCTCTTTATGAGCTACCAGAAAGTCGTTTGGTATGCCATCATAGACAGCCATGTTTTCGTATACGGCTGATCGGACCCAGACTTCCATTCGAAGAGTACGGTCTTTGATGCCAGTCTTGGTTTCGTGTTGCTCGACCAGCGTCGTTACAATCTTGGCTGAAGGGACGTGTTGGGACGCAAAGGCGATGGCCGAAATGAACACCGCCCCTCTAGTCATTCTTCCTTCGTCTTCTTCTAAAGCGGTTTGACCACCCAAGCTCTCTATGTATCCGATGATCTTACTAAATGGGCGGTCGTGGCGCGCAACAGCATTGACAAAGGTCTCTCCAAGCACTGAGTTTGGGTTGAATCCGAGATCATACAGAGTGCTGAGAATCTCCAGGAATCCATCTTCTTGGTAACTGCGCATGCGGTCTCGTTGCTTACGTAGCGGTAACGCTTCCGGGCTCGTCACATCCAGTGTGTTATCGGTGTCTTCGTTGACATGATCGCCGAAGAATCTTGTTGAAATGAAAATTAAGTATAAGAAGGTGACGTGAGAGTTGGCTAGGCTGCTGATACTGGCGACTTTATCCAGCAAAATTATTTGCTTTGAGCCTCGATTGCCGATTTCTTCGTAAAACAATCTTAGCAACTCGTTGGCTGGTGGTAGAAACGCACCGTGCGCCATCAAAGCTTGCAATACCGACTCGGAGTTTCTCTTGATAGCCTGAATGAGCGTCTGTCCATCTTGACAGACCTGTTTGACAATGCGAGAGTCTGGGGGCTCGAAACGCGAGAACAGGGCAATGTGACTTTCCAGGCTCCCTTGATCTTCTTCGTGGTTTCTACCAAAGTAGGCGTGCTTGTCAAGAAGTATTCGAAAAGGCGTGTGTCCACTGTTATTTAAACACTGAAGGTCTTTCGAAGCTCCGTTGTCGAGGAGTAGTGTCAGCAACTCGACTGTAGGTCGGAACCCGGATGTTGCGGCATGCAGAACGGTATTTCCGTTGTCATTACACGAATGAATATCTGCGCCGTTGGAAAGAAGCGTTTCGATGGTATCTACATTCCCATCTTTTGCAGCCAAGATAAGTGCAGTACTGCCCTTGGCGTTACGAGCGTTGACGTCTGCACCGTAGGCAATCAAGAGCTTGGTCAACTCAGGTGACTTCGCCCAGATACATGCATCAGTGGAGTGTAGCCCTCAAATTTGAACACAGAATAGTCTTTGAGACCACCCCCCCCTTTTGTGTGTTTGATTCACATTTGCTCCGTGTTGAAGCAAGCCTTCCACTACAGCGAAGCTTGCCATCTTGCCTCCCCAGACATAGTCATAACTCCGGACGGCTTGTAGTAGAGGGGAGATTCCCTCATACTCAAAATCGACATCCGCCCCATTTGAGAGAAGGAGATCGAAAAAGGTCGTATCCTGAGATCGCGCGGCAGCATAAACAGGACAAAGACCCTGTTCGCGGGCGTTGACATCTGCGCCAATCTCGACCAGCATTCGCGCCGCAGGTAGGTTACGGGAAATAATGGCGCTTTGTAAAAGGCTCGACTTCCAAGTCTCTGGTTGCTTCATAAAAAGCTGCTTCGATGAAACCTCGATTGCACCAGTCTTCCTTGCAACGCGCCATGTGGATTCAGAGACCGGCGGTTGGAACTGCCCGTAAGCGTCGTTGATGGCAACGGTGACCTCACTTGGCCGTTCGAGCCAGGACATATCTCTGGTAGATGGTAATAAATCCTGCAGATAGACTTTGTGTGTAGGACCACGGGAGTAGGATAGACCGATAGCCTTTCCAATGGTTTCGAGATCCGACTTTGCAATAGCAGTCTCTTTAGGAGCTTGCGACTTATCACTGCCAGCATCCCGATCAGATTCAAGCAGCAATCTGACAACATCGAATTCGTGACGTCCAATTGCCCAGTCCAGCGCGGTGAGGTCATGGTTGCTTTTGATGGAAGGAACCGCACCCAATTTTAGGAGGATCTTTACGATTGGTGCATGCCCGCCAAATGCCGCCCTTTTTGGTGTGGACTTGATTAGCAGAAGACTTTCTAGACAGATTGCAGTGCTTACCAAAATAACGGAGTCCATCCTTCTGAATCCTTCGCATTGAGATATGCTCCAGCTTCGGCGAGAGCCGCCGCGACCTCAACATGACCGTTTGCGGCAGCCCAATGTAGTGGCGTCCATAACTGAGAGTCGAATGGTGATGGTGGACAACCTTTTGAAAGTAGGCTCCTAGCAAATAGTGACAGTCCCCAGAATGCTGCCAAGTGGAGTGCGTCTTGTCCATAAGGAATCGTAGCAAAGATATCTGTGGCAACGGCGGTATTTTTGATACTGGAATAAAACTGGAGAGCTTGAAAAGAGCTCCACCGCGTTTTTTCGGATGCCAGTAACTTCTCCAGCAGAGGAAAGAGCGATTTCTCCATGTTCTGGTCGATAATGTGGTGACCCCAGTGGTGAGCTGAATAGTCCAAGAACGGCATATCAGTGAGTCGGCCACGCAACTCAGCCACGTCTTTTGCTGGACCTTCTGAAAAAGGCTTGACACACAAGTATCGGATACAAGATTGAGCGATGTCAATTTGAACATCCCAGAGGTTGCTTTTGTGCGGCTCGAAGAATTCGAATACTGACGTGTGGACAAGTCGGACATTGGCCATGTCATCCACCACCACAAGTCCAGCGCAGACCCGCAACATAAGGCTTTGACTCGTAACAGACTCTTTATCAATTTCTTCCATGTCTTCTTCTGTGGCGAACGCGTGTAACATCTCGTCTGTTTTCAAAACCGTTCTCGAGTTGATAATCCAGCCAATCACTCTGTGGGCGAGAGCTCTGTGCGGGGGAGGCTGATTATTGATTCGTTGTAAACTAGATTCAAACACATCATTGATACTGCCACATTTGGCAGTGTCGAGAATATGCCTCATGGCTTTGACTGATGTCTGCTCCAGGAGATGTCCGATCAGGACATGAGCAATGAGGAATCTGTCGACGTATTTGTATCAGTTCTCATGGTCGTAGTTTCCAGCCCGGATAAAGCAAGGGAACTCGGAATACCTACATTCCATTCGATCTTCTAATAACACACTCAATCAACTCAGGAGTCACCTGATCTCTCAATGGACTGTCGTGACTTTCCCACAGGCGACTCTGCGCTAGTCTGCGAATGTCTTGTGTGGGACTTTCCATGACAATAGAGGTTATCAATACGGAAGCAGAAGGCATAGCATCCCCGTACTGACGGCGACTTGTGACAAGTATGCGGCACCCTATGTCGGCAAAACGGTTAAAGTGCTTGGTCAAGAGCTCCGATGACCCGATTTCATCCTCTGCATCCAGAACACATGCGACGTTGTAGTTAGACTCTGCCACTTTAATGATAAACCTGACCAGAGCTTCAGCGTCCTGAAATGCATCGAAATCTGACAAAACATTCTTTGCAATTTCAATTACAACGTTGTCGCCTTGAGCTATCAACTGGTAGGCCATGCACTGGAGCGCAGCCAAAGTTGTCTGGCTCTTCTGCTGTATGAAGTCGCAGAAGAAATAACACAGAAGTAGTCTCTGATCCTTTTGCTGTCGCTCTTTCAGGTCTTTGACCACGAGCCATGCGATGCCAGATTTACCGGTTCCTGGCGGACCATGACACCACAGGAATGCAGAAGGAGGTTCGGGTTTCAGCCATTGGTCATAGGTCTCCGATTCTAGGAATCATCGGCCGGTTCCAGGACAAGTTTCTGTTCTCTTCGAGATGGTAGGCTTAGGAAGAGCTGCTAAAAGCTGACTGCGCTCGTGCGACAGCGCCAAGGGATCGACCTTCTTCAAAGTCGCTTTGGTGGTGGCGAGAATGCTGGATGAGGCGAAACTATCGAACATGGCTCGATTTCGCTGGAAGGTGTCGATCTGTGCTCTCAGGTCATTCTCCTTGACTGGCCAAAGTAGTCTTGAAACACCCAGTGCCGCCACTCCCAGTGTTGCTTGAATAGTCCTCAACTCATTCTCGCAAGTCGACACTAAACCTCGCAATTGAGCCTCGGAACCGTCGCCAGAAAGAATGGTAGCATTCTCTGCACCAAGGGCTTGCTTGAGATGTAGAAGCACCACAACAAGAGCGTTAACCTCTCTTAGATACTCCCTCCGAGTACGATCCGCGTTTCTCACGCTAGAAAGATAGCTGTAACTCAGTTTTGTGATCTCGCACGTCATCTGTAAGAGACTGCCAATGCTGGCGACGGCGCCAAGAGTGTCGTCCCAACCCATTGCTGAATAAGGTCATGGGCGTAAATTATTTGGCAAGGAGAATACTGGTAATTTTGGCCAGAGAGAACTGAGAGAAAAACCTCTTCGTCAGAAGAGGGGAGACCTGACGATGCATCCAATAGCAACTGCGAGATGCAAGGCGAGTTGGAGAGCCCTAGTCGTATTAGGTACCCGCTTTGGCGAATCCTTCAGCATTTCCTAAAGCACACTTATCTAAGATCTACAGGATGAAAAGTGTCTACAGGGGCGCTTCGCTCCGGTCCCGCCCCGTGTGGTGATGCAGCCGAACCCCAAGGTTCCGAGCCCGAAGGGCCGAAGGCCGATCCAAAATATGGACAACCGGTCATGTCATCTTAAGTGCCTCCCGCTGACGCATGCTTCTGGTACTTGCACCTGACTTAGTATGTTTCTTGAAGGCAATATGTCCTGCAAATGATTACTCTAGCAGAACCAGAAGATGTAACATCAGATGAGTTGCATCAAAGGCTCTCCAAATCAAGTGGGCCAGCTTTCCTCACCGTCTCCCAAACCTGTCCTAAGGTGCTGGATCCACGCTTCATGAATTGGCCAACACCTTTTGGCGCGACAATGCCTTCTCCATCCCGGTCCCAAACCACATTGCCTCTCAATATCGTGTATCTCGGCCAATTCCTCACACTTCGTCCTTCATAAGGCGTGTAGTCGACATCATGGTGAAGTAAGTCATTCGTAACTTGAAAGTCACCAAGCTCTTCCTCCGGGTACCAGATGACTAAGTCCGCATCCGAGATACCAGGAATCATTGCACCCTTTCGAGGATAGAGACCGTAGAGCTTAGCCGCATTGGTGGAGGACATCTCGACAAACTTTGTCAGGGCTAGCCTTTGTGCCGAGAACGCGAGAGGTAATCGAGTCTCAACACCAGGCAGACCGTTGGGTATATAGCGGAATTGACCCACGGGATGGTCAGCCGTGACGCAAGAGTTCTTACCCGCCACGGGGTCATTGAATCGGAATGGGCAGTGGTCAGAGCTGAGTACCGTAAACGTTCCGTTCGCGAGACCCGTCCAGATAGCGTCCTGATCGGCACTCGTCCGGGGCGGAGGTGAGCACACACACTTTGCACCTTCGAAGCCAGGCTTGTCCAGGTCATCTCTTGTCAGAAAGAGATACTGCGGGCAGGTCTCTGCAAAGATAGGCTGTCCAGTGGATTGAGCGATGCGGATGCGTGAGGAAGCCGAGGGATCGCTGACGTGCACGAGCAGAATAGGCGTGTTAGCGATGAGGGATGATAGAGCTATTGCGCGATTGGTCGCCTCAGCTTCCAGGATAGGCGGGCGCGAATTTGCGTGGTACTTTGGGGCAAATTTGCCTTGTAACTCAAGTTGATCTGTGAGCCAGTTGAGAACATCACCATTCTCAGCATGGATCATAGTAAGAATCTCATTCTGACGTGCTTCTAGAAGAATGCTCAGAATTTGGTCGTCGCGAAGCTGGAGAGCCGTGTACGTCATGTAGATCTTGACGGAGGAAATTCCTTCCTCACTCTTGAGTGTCTTCAGCTCGGACAACACCTTGGGGCTGGTATCAGAGATGATGACATGAAAGCCATAATCTGTGTAGCAGTTTCCTGTTGCAAGCTTATGGGTTGCATTGACCGCACTTAACAGGGAGTTGTCTTCGCCCTTTCTCTGAGGCGCAAAGGCGACGACGGTTGTGTTGCCTCCAGCCGCAGCCGACCGAGTTCCAGTTTCCCAACTGTCAGCTGAGCGGCCGGTAGAACCTTTGAAATAAATTGCAGGTTCCTCAAGATGAACATGGCAGTCTATTCCACCAGGCTAGTCGATTGCAATCGTATTAGTGAAATGACTCGTTTTATCACAAAGTTAATCGTGCAGGTGAAAAAACCGACCATGACATAACCGCCTCTGGCATCAATTATTCGTTTGGAACTCGCCTTAGATAGCGATCCGGATGGTGCCTGCAGCACGATCTTTTCATCTTTGATGGCAAGATCCCACGCTGCAACATCGCTTGCTGTCACGCAAACACCATTGGTGATCACGAGGTCGAACTCGGTCGTGGAAGACATATCAGGTGCACCGATGAAACAAAGATGTTTCGCGGTGTGTTTTTTTGGTTCCGGCCGTGGGAGATGCCACAAAGTTGTTTGGTAACGCGATTCTCGTGTGCACACATCCGGACGCGCGAAGGTGAGATCGCCGCTGCGGCCGATTTCCACTGCCGGTCCCATATTATCATCGGCCTTTAAAAGATAAGAGTCGGTATTGGGCCGACAAGCCGACACTCCGGGCAAGACTGTGTGATAACGACGCACTCATTTGCGTTTGCCTTACCCGAAACCCCTGTCGCAGTTGGGGGCCAAAACGGCCTTTTTTCATCGTAGTGGCCAAAAAAGCCTAAAAAAGGGGCGTTTTTAGCAGAAAAAACCATTAATTACACAACGCGCAGCGTATGCGCGTAAATAAAAAAGATACCTCTAAGATTAGTGAAATTAGGGCTATTGATTAGTATACTTTTTTATTGGGCGTATCGCTGTTATAAAAAGTTGATTTTTTCGCGTTTGTCCTCGAAAAAAAATGTGTTGTTGCTTGAAAATAGAGTTTTTGTTGTTTTTTGCTTATTTTTAGCCTAAAAATGAACTTCCTGAAAACTCGATATACCTAATTAAAAAGTATACTAATCGATAGTCCTGATTTCGCTAATTTTAGAAGTATCTTTTTTATTCGGGCGTATGCGCCGCGCGTTGCGTAATTGTCGAAGAAGAGGTTAATTAACGTTGAAAAAAAGCCTGTTTAAGGGGCGATAAATCGCGCACTGACAGGGGTTTCGGGTAACGCAAACGCAAATGAGTGCGGACGGGCAATGATAAGCGGCGACTATGGTCCACCAATCACATGTTCCGGATTAGTCTACAGCATAATCAACACGGGGCACATTTATCTGCAGCGTCTTATCTCACTCGGGATGATCGAAGTTGCATTGTTGGAGAGAATCTGGGGTCATAGCATGGAGGTGTTCTGTGTGGAAAACGGGGTTTCCAGAGCCGTCAACGTCTGAGTACTCTGTAGGATTCCCCCTTTCATGCTCGGCATCAACACCGACAAGGAAAGGGGCAGCCAACGCATAGTCGATTTCAAAATGACACAGACGATGAGGTCAAATCTCACAAGTGAGTTTAGCTCTCAGTCATTCGCTGCGGAGACAAAAGGGCGGACGAAAGACTGATCTGCATACCAGCAAGAGCAGCTTGCAGCACTTGCCACCATCGGAAGGTCAAATGCGACGCTCATGATGTTGGAATCCCATGTTCAAATTGTCAAGCAGGCTCTCGGGATGACTGTCGTCCTCATCAGAAACGCAAACGGGTATCTCGAGCAGCTACAGCTCGCCATTCTTCGCACTCTTCAGTTGAAGTTGAAAGACGCCCGCCTACTTCGCCAACGCGTACGGCCATCCTCTCAACGGCGGACGGCATTATCACTGTTGCTGCTGAGAAAGGGGGCTCACCAACCTCGCCTGTAACAGAACAATCGGAAGGCCAGAGACCAGTTCAATCAACCCCTGGATCAGTCGGCTTTGGCGTCACAGGAATCGACATTCACGCACAAGAAGATGGCGAATATCTTTATAAGCGACATCTGGTTGAGTTTATTGACCAGCCAGAGCTTGTAAATCGACCAATCGACAACAAAGCCCGTACGACCTACATTGGTACAGATGTTTCGAACGTCAACTATCTCGTTCAACAGCAATTTGGAGCTGCTGTTCACACATCTGAAGTCTGCCATTACCCAACAAATCGCATCTCACGGCGAGTGGCGGGTCACAATCCGGTGGATCGACTGCCTCTAGACACATTTCAATTGCCACCAAAAGCTGTTGTAGACGAACTTCTGGAGGCCTATTTTCGACACGTTAATCCGGGGTTCCCCGTAGTTGATGAGCGTATCTTCATGGGCCAGTATCGAGCTAGAGATTCTTTAAATCCGCCTTCACTTCTACTTCTCTACGCTATCCTTCTTGTTGGTAGCCACGCCCTTTACGAAGAGGATTCCGAAAAGAGACATCTCGCTAAGGCAACCTATTTTCGTCGTGCCAAAAGCCTATTGGATGCTAGATTCGAATCAAATCGCGACACCATTGTCCAAGCGGCTTTGCTTCTTACTTGGCACACAGACGGATTGGAAGACGCGACAGCGAACGCATGGTACTGGCTTGGAATCGCTGTTCGCATCGCCACCGGCCTGGGAATGCATCGTGACGCAGAAGGCAGCACATTAGTCCAACACAATAAGCGCATGTGGCGACGAGTATGGTGGCTACTTTTCCAAAGCGATGTATGGATTTCGCTCCAATACGGGCGGCCACAGTCAATCCACCTCGAGGACTCAAATGTGCAAAAGCTGAAAGTATCAGACTTTACTGACTGCGGGCCGGATGCACAGCCTGAAAGCCTCATTCAAATGTCTGAACTGGCTATCATAGTATCAAAAGCAATGCGGGAGAGAAATCGAGCTTCAAGTGACCAGGCTAGGCGCATGGTTTTGCGCAAAACCGATGAGAGGCTGGCCAGCTGGGCGTTGAGGCTGCCACAGTCACTAAATCTCCATGGTGCACTAGGAGCCGGTGTATGGAACACAAATCTGCATCTACACTACAACATGGCTCTCATTCTTCTTCATAGGGCCCCTCCAAAAGCTTCATCTCGAGACGTCAGCGGCGTAGAAAGTTCGAAGCGCGATGACAATGCCGAGATATGCGTGGCTGCTGCGGGAGTGATCCAATCACTTTTCCAGACCTTATGCCAAACTGATGGCATACGATGTCTTTGGATGTCGACCATAAACTGTTTATTCTCCGCTTTGGTTCATTTAAGCACCGAAATACGCATTTCGAACCCCTTGCTTGCCATCTCGGCTCTTAGAAGATACGATTCAGCCCTGGTGTCGCTGAAAGAGCTCGCGGAGTACTGGCCTAATGCAAAGTCTATCCTGCACTTTTTCGAAAACTCAGTGCGAATCAATTCCCAGCTTCACGCCAGTCACGATTTTTCGCACTTGTCCGACGAGGACCCTGAAAATCAACAGGACGCTCTACGACAGTCAACAATCCACCACACAACAAAAGATAATGAAGAGGTGATGGATGGAAGCCAAAGAAGACCTGACGAGTTAATTGACCCGTCTGTCTGGGGTGTCACAGAAGATACAAATGAAACTGGGGATTTGAATAGTACTGGGGCGATTCTCGACTCTTGGAGACAGTGGCAAAGCCAACACTGGCATACCCCCGAGTTTTCAGACGAATATTTGTTCACAATCTAGCTCGAGAGAACTGTACAACGAAGAGATGAATTCCCAATCTTCTAGCAGAGTCCAAGAGATACCCGCCCGAAGTCTTTCTCACATTCACCATCGTCCTCCTCAACCTTTGCTGGGATAGGCTTATTTGCCAATGGAGTCAGACGGAAAGCATGCCTGCGCTCACCAGCAGGGTAATCAAGGGTCTGAGAGTGGTTCGTGACACGCTGATCCCAGATGAGAACGGTACCAGCCTCATAGCGGACACGGCACTGGAAATCCTGTCTCTTAGCGATGTGATCGAACAAAAAGTTCAGGAGGTAGTCAGATTCCTCTTGATCGAACCCAACGATCTTCTTCGTGTAGACGGGATTGACATCTTTTTAAGTCCTTGTCAGCAAATATCGTATTGTGTCCTCCTGAAGCCAACTTACATAGGGCCTTCTCTCTGGTAACGGGATGAACGATGACGACAGGGTGTTCTTGAACCAGTTGCTGTCTCCTCATGACTGCGTTTTGGCCGTTCTTCAGCTCCTGGGTGACACCATCGTTATTGGAGTGGATAGCAGTCAATCCCTCCAGCCTCTTCCTGAACTTCGGTGACAGGGCCTTGAAAGCTTGAACGCTAGAGCTCACAAGTGTGTCACCACCAGCGGCAGAGGGTGACTCGAGCATGCAGATGAAGGTGGTACCAGGGGGCTGAGGCTCGGGGGACTGGTCGGTGTGCCATTGTACGGGGCTGCGACCCCTCCAAGACTTGCGCACACGCAGATCTTCCTTGTGATCATAGATAATCATATGCTCCTCAGAGCCAGCAGCAGGGTGTGGCGCCCATCCATGGATGTGCAGTGGACCGAAGTGGCGCACGATTTGTTTCTGGCGTTCGAAGCCGATGTCGCGGAAGTCCTGATTGCGAAAGACTAAGGCACCACGCTTGGCAGCGAGAAGCGCGAGTTCATCCAGTCCTTCAGTCGATAGCTGCGACAGCTGGACCCCCTCGATCTCGGTGCCGACATGGGGCGAGAGGTCAATGACCTTGGTTGCTGTCGAGAGAAGATTGGGGAGCTTTGGGTCAGCGCGGTGGCCGGGGTCAAAGTGCTCGAAAGACCCGATGTCTTCTACCTTCTCCAGAGGGTCATAGAAGGGCATGAACTCAGGATACAGTGCGGAACCATCTTCCTTGACGGGTCGCGTGACGAGCTTGGTCGCCAGAGGCTCTGCAGGGCCGGGGACGGGTGATGTAGTCGTGGCTGAGGGCGCCATGGTAGCAAGCCTCTTGAAGCCCCTTGGGTTCGGGATTGTAGAATAAGATGAGTATGACAACCGGGTAATGGTTTCCGTATCGGTTCGCCCGTTGTCAATTTTGTGGAAGTTTGTGAGATAAGATGGATAAGATGGCGGGGATGATCCTGTGCTATCAATCAGGCTTTACTTATACCTACTCCGGATTGCCTCGGTCGGGCTAAGAACCACAGGGCTGGACTTTATCAGACTGTTGACGATTGGTTCGAAGCGTCTTGGATGATGCTCGGTGCCAATGGGGCAGTTTCTAGCTGACGCGCCGATAGCAATGACACCGAGACCGTGAATTCAAAACGCCGAGGCGCCGAGTCGCCGACGCGGCCAAGCCGGTTGCTTGTCGTTATCAACAGAGGATCAGCGGGGCACAACAATCTCTTGCAGACAGCGGCATGTAAGTTGTCTCGATCTGCCGCTCTGCTTTCCGGTTCAAATGCCAACTTTCGACTTTTCGACATTGTCGTTTCTCGTTGTCGCTTGCTTGTTGTTCCATTCTCCGACCAATTCTCGGTGTTCTCACCATGAGCGCTCAACCTCACGACGCATCCTCAATCGAGGATGTCGAAAAGAAGACACCAGATCAAAACTCTCCTTCGTCAAAAGCTAGTGTGGCTGAGGGTCAGGCAAACTCTCCAAACTCTGAGTATGAGAGGTATCTGGACTTGCATCGACAGTTTGAGGGTGCTGGGAGAAAAAGGCTTTTGCAGAAACGTATGTGTTGATGCGATTCTGAGACTCAGTTTCCCTATGATTAACTGATTGGATGCAGTCGATTGGCGCCTTCTACCCACTCTGAGTGTTCTCTACTTGTTGTGTTCACTGGACAAGTCGAATGCTGGCAACGCCAAGATCTTCGGCTTCGTTACAGACGCCAACATGACTTCAACGCAATTCAACTTGGGCTTAATGGTGTTCTTCTTCTCATACGGTCTATGGGAACCCGTCTCGAATGTTCTGCTTAGACGTCTTGGACCCAAGATTTGGTTCCCTATAATTATAGTAACTTGGGGTACAATTACGACCTTGACCTGTCTTTGCCGCAGTTTCGGAGCATTCATAGCCATTCGACTTGCCCTGGGAGTCGCTGAGGCGGGCTTGTATCCCGGATCTTACTTCATTTTGAGTATGTGGTACACGCCTAAGGAACTTGCCACGCGCATGGCCATATTCTATGGCGCAAATACTGCAGCTGGCGCCTTTTCAGGTGTCATCGCGTATGGCGTTGGCCATCTCGATGGTTCTCATGGCTACACTGCTTGGGAGTGGCTGTTCTTGATAGAAGGTGTCATCACTGTTGCTGTTGGTCTCATGACCATCTTCTTTCTTCCGTAAGTGTTTTCGCTCAGAACTCCACATCGTCCTGCTAACATGATTTGAAGTCATTTTCCCCACCAGTACAATGAGACTCGCAAGACCAGCTGGCTTACCGCCACTGAGCTGGACTACGCCAAGTTGCGAGTGAAGTACGCTTCTGGTCCGGATGCCCCTACCTACGAATTCCGCTGGAGTGACGTCTGGGCAGCTGCGCGCGACCGCAAGACATGGCTCATGATGATGATGTTCTGGTGGGGAGGTTCCATTCCGACATACTCCTTGTCGTATACTCTGCCGACGATGGTGAAGAACCTGGGATATTCAGCCATCCGCGCCCAGGCCTTGACCACGCCACCTTACATTTTCGCCACCATTGTGTGCATCTTCAACGGTTGGATGAGCGATCACTTTCAGAAGCATTATGCCTCGATAATGGCATGCTATGCTGTTGGTCTTACCGGAATCATCATCTTGTGGATCAGTGTTCACTTTCCGCAAGTTTCAGGGGTGTCATACTTTGCGATATTCATCGCAGCCGCTGGTTACAGTGCTCAGGCACCGATTGTCGGAGCTTGGACTTCCAACAATATTCCCAACCCTTCCAAGAGGGCTGCTTCCATCGGACTTCTGATGCTTTTTGGCTCTGTTGGTGGTGGCGGTATTGGCTCCAACATCTATCTGGAGGAACAAGCGCCCGTCTATCCTTTGGGTTTCGGCTTCTCAGTTGGCGCAACTGTTCTCGGGGCAATGATCCCTGCTACTATTCACTGGTGGCTTATGCGAAGAGAGAATGAGAGAAGAGCTACTTTGGACCACGGTCAGATTCTCACTGAACATAGCCAGGAGGAGCTCAGTAGTATGGAAGAGAATTCGCCCCTGTATCGTTACACTTTGTAGGGTTGGACACAAAAGTAGCAGTATGAGAAGATTGAATCAAACTCGTTACCAGATTCATGACATGTTGTGCACAGGGGGGGCTGAGATACAAACCTTTGCCGGTCGTATGGCTTCTATGTATGTGTATTGTGCGATCATTATCATTCACTTGCTACATGTAGTCTGGGGTGCACGATGATGCGTTTCGATACCGTTGTTTATAATGATATTGCTTTTCCATAATATCGTTGTCCGACAAAAAATACCGGAACATGACCTGAAGTCTATATTCACAAATCACGATTGAATGCTTTACCACATGATGCATGTCGTCTCTGCAGCAAGGCACCAGGCGATATGTGGGTTTGTCTCGGCGTTTCGGCGGGGGGCTCGGCGACAGCACTATCAAGTACATGCGGAAGTGCCATGTGCTTGCCGATTGTATAATTTATGTCTGTTCTTCTTGTCTTTCAATACAGCAAGCAAATGGTTTTGCTACTGAAGCAGCGTCATTTTCGAGCAACATGGCTTCTACCCTGCACCGGCCCCTTCCTCGCGGTATCTACACTCCCCTTCCTACATTCTTCCTTCCCAACGAAGATTTGGATCTAGATGCATTTGCAACTCACGTGCGATACGTAGCTGCCGCTGGCACCGTTCCGGTGGTAGCAGGCTCAGCCGGCGAGGCCCCTCATCTCTCCGCCGAGGAGCGTACGCAACTGATCAAGACTGCTCGAGCTAGCCTTGACGAAGGAGGGTTACAACATGTGCCGATTGTGGCCGGTATCGGTGCTCCAAGCACCCGCGAAACCATTGAACTTGCCAAAAAGGCCGAAACAGCGGGCGCCGACTATGCTATGGTCTTGCCTCCCGGCTATTACGGTGGCCAGCTGGGGAGTCCGGCAGGAAGGCTTGCTCTAACGAAGTTCTTCATTGATGTCGCTGAAGCAAGCCCGCTGCCTGTGGTTCTTTACAACTTTCCTGCTGTATCAGGGGGCATCGATTTGGACAGTGACCTGATTGTCGATGTTGTGAAGGGCTCAGACAATGTCGTCGGAGTCAAGTTGACGTGAGTAAATTATCCTGACATCAAAGACATCTGTGCACTATCTGCGATACTTACTGGGGAAAGATGTGCGTCCGTTGGTAAGATCACAAGAATAAATGCAGTGCTGTCCGCGCCTTCCTTCATGGAAACCTACCCACGTCGTCGTCAAGGGGACAACTTCAAGATCATCGATGGCTTCATTGACATCTTGCTGCCATCGATAGCCAGCGGAGCTGCTGGAGTAAGCTTCAATGTCCAGGATGTAATAGAATTGGACTAACAATCTTCTCCGTCTTGTCATTGTAGGCTATCTCAAGTCTCCCAAACTTTGCTCCTGTAAGTCACTTGCTTCTGGATACTCCGAAACGTTGGCTTAGAATCACGCAGAAAACATGTGTCAAGCTCTGGCAACTATGTGGATCATCTCCAGGTTCTGAGGATCACAATGAGGCTCAGCGTCTTCAGGGTCTGTTGGCTATGGCAGATGGAGCGTGTCAACGCATAGGAGTGAGTGATCGATCTAACCAGTCTTGAGGGAAGAAAACTGACAAGGCCGAAGATCGCCGGGTTGAAAATGCTTGTGCATATGGTTTTGGGACATAGTGAGCTACCTCGAAGACCGCTACTGCCCATGTCAAAGGAACAAGGACAAGAGCTTGTCTCTCTTGATGCCATACAGGCCGTCATGAAAGAGGAGCATCGTTTGACAAAGGAGCTATGAAAACGAATCAAATATGAGCTGTTCATGAAGGCTAAAGACATTTCGGAAAGCCGCCAAATTATCGAATCATGTTCAGCGTACATGTATGTTTCGGCGGCATGTGACGTTCAATCCGACCCGAGTTGACAGAAATACGATGTTACATCACTATTGATGCGATCGAATCGGATCAGGAAGGCATGGAATAGCGCCAGTGTGGGAACTTCAGAATCGGACTGCCAGTCCGACGTCGAACTATGATCCCGAATAGAGGCAAGATCCGGCGGATCAGCGTTGCATTAGAGGGGGATTTCCCCGCACTGCACCCAACATAGATATCATATCACCAGATCTGGGGTAGCTTCCCAAGATGCTGTGTTAGCCGCACGAATAGTGCGCGGTCTGGGTTTCTGAGAGACGGCCAGAGCAACAGAATGTCTGCAGCTACCGAAATCTCCAAAGTGTTCACCTAGTCTGGTTGTTAGTTATAAAAGGCTCCGGTATCCATGTCAATGTGAATGATTAAGACAACATGATAAAAGACAAGTCGAGGCGATAGCGGATTTGATCTTGGAGACTGTCATTGAACCAGTGTTTCATCATGAAATTCCTTTCAGCTCTATTTCATCTCTTCGTCACGTTTGCGACCGCAGCGCCACCCCACGGCTTGGCAAATCTGGTGCAACGAGCCGCCCCTGCACCTTTCAGCGACTTCACCAACAACCTGGTATTCTACCCAGATAGGAACTACACCAGCTGGAAGGTCATCTACGCCCGCACTGTGCAGCTGCCTGATGGTAGTCACCTTCTATCGTGGGAGAACTATCCACCCGAACCTCCGCAAGCCAACTTCCCCATTTACAAATCATCCGATGGAGGCGCAAACTGGATCGAGTTTTCGTCTGTGTCTGATCAAGTCAATGGATGGGGTCTGCGGTATCAGCCCAACTTCTACCTTCTCAAAGAAGCGTTTGGCGGATATCCTGCCGGAACTATTCTTCTTGGGGGAGCTTCCGTTCCGGCGGACCTGAGCGAAGCTTATCTCGATCTTTACGCCAGTAGAGATGGGGGATTGAACTGGGAATTTGTCAGTCACATGGTATATGGCGCTGGGCCCGAGACTACCACCAACGGCAACGATGCAGTATGGGAGCCATTCTTCATGATGCACGATGGCGAATTTGTGTGCTTCTTCTCTGATCAGAGAGATGAGAATCATGCGCAGAAACTAGCACATATCACGACCAAAGATCTCAAGACATGGAGCGAACCTGTGGATGACGTTGCTTCGTCGGCATACGACGACCGCCCAGGGATGACCACGGTGGCACACATTCAGTCCACGGGTCAGTACATCATCACATATGAAGTTTGCGCGACGAATGAGGGCTGCGAAGGGTATTACAAAGTCTCTTCCTCGCCCCTGACGTTTGGCACTATCGAAGGGCGCGGGGACAAAATTGTTTCTGCCGAAGGCCATACTACCGGGGGATCACCATACGTCATTTGGACTCCCAACGAGAAGACAAATGATGGCTCTGGCATAATCATCATGAATGGTGCTAGCAGAGAACAGCTTTTCGTTAACGAGGATTCTGCGGATCCAGCGGGATGGAAAGAAGTTGATGTGGGACAATGGGCAGCGCATTCGAGATGCATTGAAGTGATCAATAACAACGGGACGAAGAAGTTGATGCTCTCGAATGCTGGCCAAATGCAGGCGGGATTTGATAACTATGTGGTTGTCGGAGTTGTGGATATTCCGTACGATGCTGTCTGACCCTCTGGTGACATTTCAAAGGCTCATCTTTAGCATACAGACATTGGAAGTACCATCAACACTATCCAACTAGTAGTTGGCGAGAAATAGAGTACAGAATACATAAGTTTTATTCTGTTTTATGACAACAAAACAACCCAGACAGGTATGCTTTTATTGAGGCGAACCATCCAAGGTCGGATAGTCACCAACTATCATCTTTGAATACCGCTTGACAACCCAAGCCTCCAATGAATTCCCGTGCTTCAGTTTCTGATCTGGAAACATGGGGTTGCTCCTCCTTACTCTCAGGATCTATAGTCATCTGCAGAACCCCAGATGGGTCGACCACCACCACATTCCGCCCATCCAAAATCAGCCGTCGGATATTTTCACGAATTATCCTTTGTGCAATGGCATTTAGTGAGTATGTGTCACGGAATGAGAATACCACGGCACAGGCATTGGCATGCATTCCAGAGCCGGGGTCATCCGGGTCCGGCTCACTCAGCTCACGCGCAAGAGTCCTGGTAAGACGCTCTGATCCCGCAAATCGAACAGCGCCTCGAAGACTGAAGATAACAACTTTTCGTTGGCAGTTCGGATGATGCGGATCCCTCTTACCCCCAACGATTGTGGCTACTGAGGTGCGCACAGTGGCACCGGCGACCTGGCTGGCGTCCATCATGTGCAGGCCCATGTCTCGTGACAACTGCTCACAGATCATGACGCCCCTCACACTGTTTCCGCGCCCGTCAAGCTTGGGGGAGAAAGCTGCGAGACCTACTTGGCCCGGTAGAGCCCCGAGGATGCCGCCAGCCACGCCGCTTTTCGCTGGGATACCCACCCTGGAAACCCAGTCGCCTGCAGCATCGTACATTCCGCAGGTAGTCATGATAGAGAGAACCTGACGGACACTGGTTTGAGGGATAATATGGTCTCCAGTGATGGGGTTCACACCGCTGTTGCAGAGAGTTGCTGCCATCAGGGCCAAGTCCCTGACATTGACATTGATGGAGCATTGGCGAATGTAACCCTTCACGGCGTCTCGCGGATCGCAGGTGATGATGCCGGTTGCTTTTAGCATATATCCGATACTCATGTTGCGATCCGCATCCTTGAGTTCGGCCTGATAGACCTCCTCGTCGACGTGAAGTTCCCGGCCTGCGAGTCTTGACAACGTCTTCAGGATACGTTCCGTCCTCTGCTCCACCGTAGCGTCAGGCGAGACGACTAGTGTGTGTGCCGTGATGGCTCCGGCGTTGATCATGGGGTTCATGGGCCGATTGCTGCCGCGTTCGAGCGAGAGCCGATTGAAAGCGTCGCCGGACGGCTCTACGCCAATCTTTTCCAATACCCGCGACAATCCCGCGTCCTCGATAGCCAGCGCATAGACAAAGGCTTTGGAAATCGATTGGATTGAGAATTCGACCCGGTCGTCTCCCGCTGAGTAGAGATTGCCGTCAACCATGGCCAGAGCCACTGCCATCTTGGACGTGTCCGCTTTCGCTAGCACATCGATGTAGTCCGCTGGTTCTCCATCGTCGTTGGGGCGAGCATTCTCAAGTACGCGTTTGAGATAGTCGGGGATGGGCGACTTCATTGCGTGGGTGAATGGTGTAGCAGGATCGTGAGAACTCAGTGGAAAAAGCCTCTCAAATTGCCAAAAAGGTGAGAGAGAATATATTTCCCTGCACTTGGCGCTTAGTAACAATTTGCCCGTAGTGCACAATTAGTATTTCTCGGTTTCCGAGCCTAGTGGAATTTTGCGAGTCACGGTGGGTGGGTGACCTTCAGAAGACTACCGTTTGACTAGAGCATTCTTCATCGTCAGGGCTGATGAGCACATGACAACCTACGAAAAATGACCTTGCCAAGGAAAAAAAAGGTCATTGGATGAGTCTTCTGTGTTGTGGAGGGCGAAACGATTACGTCAATTTCAGCTTACCCTTCATGAGTTGTTTGGCGAGGGAAGCAAGGGCTTGTTTGTGTTACAACACGATGTTTTGCCCTCTAATTATTTTCTCGTCGTCAGTAATTGAATTAGATGTGTCATACGTCCCCATCTGGCGTGGTTTGTAGGAGGCGTGGAGACAAAGCTCCCCACCTTTATTTTTTTCGAAGGAAATCGCATGTCAAGACCGAGCCGTTTTCGGATATCCGAAACCCCACAGATATGTTCTTCCTTTATCAACTCAAAGTCATATCTCTTCACAGAATTGACAACTCTTTAAAACAGGCAATCCTCTGAGCGGGAACGTTCGGTCCGGACTCTGTGAGGAGCATGTCTTCAGAACATCCTGATGTTGTTTCTGAGATCAACCATTGTCTATCTTACAGAAATTGTATGTATCTGTTTTTGAACGACAAATTATTGACTGGAGGATGAATTGGTTACAGTAACACAGAGCGGGAGAATGAAGCAGGAAACTGAGAGACAGTTGGGTTAGGTTAGTTCATGGTTTACAACGTTCGCAAAGTGGGGCGCTATGGATCAACACCTGGAGTGCGTCAACTGCCGTATCTAACTCCCCTTTACCCGGCTAGAACTGATGACTAAAGTGGCTGAAGCCGAGCTAGATAAACCAACCATCAATAACTCGCAATTCGCAGCTCACTCACCCCGCTCTCCTTTCCCTTCTGTTCACAGACGACCACCTCCCGCATCCCGCACAGTATACAAAGAGCACAAATGAATGCGGGGGGTGACTTCTTCCCGGTGCAACGAATCGCCCAGGCATGTCTTCAGTGTCGGTAAGTATGCAGAGGCCGCGTTGGAAGCAGAGATCACGACATGGCAGACACTTTATAGTATGGCTGACCTTACTTAGACGCAAGAAATGCCGGTGCACCGGAGATCGACCTGTCTGTGGTCATTGTCGTCGGTTGGGACTAGGTTAGTCATAGCTCGTATTCCAGACTCCAGTTACTTGTCCTATCATGCTAATACACTCCTCCAAATAGACTGCGTCTACGGTGAAGAGAACCCTCGGCAGCGTTCCTTGGACTCCGAGCCACACGTTGAGCCCGATGCATCTTCTCGGGAAGCCACCGTGAGTGGAAGATGATGTCCAGCCAAACCAAGCCTCTCCCATCTGTCTCTCTAACGAGGCTCTCAGACAACTGTGTTGAGGAGACTGTCAATTCTTGACAACAAGATGGAGAATGTGACAGCTCGACTTAGCACGTGAGCTACCATCCTGACGCTTTTTCATAATGTAATAAGCTCACATGGTCAACTTCGTAGTATTGAGGACCGCCTGACATCTCTTCTCGACCTCCATCTTTCAGGCAGCGTACAAGCGTCTCATGCCGCGCGCAATCCTAGGAATGGCACCGACGCGCCGAACCTCGCCTCAAATCAAGGTCAGAGTGTGGTCGCAGAGCAGGAGGCACCTGCACCCATGGATGTCGGCGTGCCCGAAGACGTTGTCGCTGCCGCGGTGGATGCCTACTTCTTCTACTGCCACAACCAACCCTACTCCTTTTTCCACGAAGCTCACTTCCGCCGCCGCTTGTCAGAAAGGACCGTCCCTACACATCTTCTGCTGACTATAGTGGCTACAGCTGGTCGCTTCTGCTCACATCCCTACTTCACGGGGCGCGTGCACGAAGCGTCGGTCGACTGTGCCAATCGGGCTTGGAAGCTGATTGTTTCTGATTGCTTCACTGAGGGCACTGGCACGGAGATATCCGCAGTACAGACGGTGGCTCTTCTGGGTCTGTTTGACTTCACTGGTGAGTGGTTAATCTCATACTGGAGCTTGTTACTTGTTCCCCTTAAGCGATAGGACAAGAGGCAGAACACTGACGGCAAGAGCAGCTGGCAGGTCGCGTCACGGTTCGGCATGGGTTAAGGTAGGTATGTCTGTGAGGATGGCACAGGATTGTGGACTCATGTTGGAGAACGCAACACATCTTCCATATGTGGAACAGGAAGAACGCCGACGCGTCTTCTGGTCTGTCTATCTCCTGGACCGACTGGTGTCCTGCGGACGCGGTCGTCCACCAGCCATCGTTGATGCGTCTTGCCACCTGCAATTACCATGCGAAGAGGTGGTCTGGAAGAATGAGGTATGGAGCAAGACGCAATCTCTTGACGAGATGACAAACCGGGCCTTGACAGTCCCTCAGAGTCAGGGCTCCTTCGCCCATGTCATTGCCATGGCCCAGATCCTTGGACGGAGTGCGCAGTACATGCTTCAGGAGTTCAATATTCGCAGCCCTCATCCACCCTGGGATCGAAGCTCCGATTTCGCTGCGCTTGAGTCTGATCTCCTCCACTTTGAGTCATCCTTGAGGATCCAACAACCGTTGCAACAAGTTCTGGCTCCGTACATCACGGCTGATGGAGTCGTGGATTACCACACCACTGGCCCGATTATCTTCTCCCGGGCATTCTATCATCTTTGCTACTGCCTGCTTAATCACCCTTTTCTTCTCAAGCGCCGTATTGATACGTGCCGCACGTTGGCCCCGACCAGTTTCCTGACACGATCATCTGACCTAGGATGGTTACATGCGCAGCATATGCTAGCACTTATACGGGACGCTCGTGGGCTGGGGTGCTCCTTTCACTCCTCTTCTAGCGGCTACTGCGCGACTGTTGCCGGTTCTATCATCGCTTTGAGAACTGGTGATTCAGATTTAGTCGTGAGCCAGAGAGCTCAAGTTCTCCTTGAAGAGGCTTTGTCGTATCTCGACACTCTGGGTCGCCATTGGAATAATGTCTCCTCGATGGTGCGTACCCCTTGCATTCCCGTATCTGCCGTGCTGGAATGACTTCTTTCCCGCCATGAAATGACCCAGGGCTCATAATTACACAGGCAACAGTGCTTAGACGAATGGTGTATGATGGTTTCCTGGGGGGTAGTCTGTGTAGTAGTGAGCTCCAAAGAGCTAACATTACTCTGGCCGAGGAAGAGACCTTGTGGGCCGTCGTTGACTACAACACCATGTCGAGCACAGTGAGTGAGGAGGCTTTAAACAATAACCAAGATCTTAGTAGCATATGGCTTGATTCGTGGACGGACCTCTTTGGAGTGCCAGGCGATCAAATAGCCCCGCTAACTCCGAACCCTTTGTAGAAAACCACTCGCAGCAGCGACAGCAATTGTTTGCTAGTATTGGAGCAAAGTCTTCAACATAGGCGGCTTGTCGCGAAAAGCAAGGAAAACTTCAGTAATTACGTAGTTGCCACAACATCCTGAAATCAACCATCCCGAGCTTAGAAATAAGTAATTCGCGCAGTTGCTTAGTCCCTGTGACGAACAAAATCAAAATACTATGCAGTGGCTGTACTATTTACTGCTAAACCTGGTTAGTGTCATGCCCAACTATCGCCTCGTCGAGTGCCTCATAGACAACACTGAAGTCGCGACTTCCCCATTCCGTCGTCTGAGCAAGAGGTCGATAAACCTCTTCGACACGTCTTCCAAGCGGCAGTGGTGAGTTTACTTCCACAGCAGCCTTCACGGCCAGGGCCAGATCCTTGTGCGCTAGGCTGGTAACGAAGCCTCCCGCGTATTGACGATGGGCTGGAGGGCTTGTATGTCCCACCTTGACTTCCGGAACGGGATGGTTGATCTGGAAGATTTCTTAGCTTACCACCCGTGTAATCTTGAATCCAATTTCAAGACTTTCCCAAGAACCAGTGATGGAGCAAATTCATCTTTCCATCGAAAACACCCGGTCAAACCTAACCCAGAAGAACTTACCTCACTAGACCAACATCTCCCCGTTGAATTGTTGATGATATCTGCGAGAACTTGAGGATCAACACCGAGCCTCTTGCCCAGCAGCATGGCCTCGCTGAGTAGATTTGCGTCAGTTTCTGGATGGAAACCCTTTTCACTCTGCATCAATTGCAGGCAGGAACATGTTTACCTTAGACCCAGCATAGTGATCCCTAGCAAGAGACTGTAATTCAAGTAATGATTAGAACGGTTTTCAAAAGAAATATTGAAACTGTGAGTTCCCCTACTTGTTGGATATCTTCGCTGCAAGACCAGCACCAAGATCACCGCAATATGTGACCTTGCTGGCCATAGGCTGGAGATAAGGGACTGCCCGTTCAAATGATCTCTTGTTGCCGCCGACCATTATCGCGAGAGTACCATCTCTAGCACCGATCACTCCTACGACCATAATAGTCAACATAATGTAGATCCTCAAGGTGGATGAAGCGGTTGAGGGGCAGAATGACATACCTCCAGACACGGGGGCGTCCAATAGGTCGGCACCAGTCTCCCTCAATTTCAGAGCGACAGACCTGCTGACACTTTGCTCGATGGTGGACTGGTCAAGACACAAAGTCGACGATCTTTGCTGCTCGTCCAACTTTTCCAAGGCGCGAATGACGCTGCTGTCGCCGAGGTAAACGTCCTCTACGTGGCGACCTGTGGGCACCATCGTAATAATCGTCGAAGCCTTTTGTGCCACATCGCATGGGGCTGTAAGAAAAGAAAAGGAACAAACCAATCAGTGAATTGGAATTCCCTGCGACAAATCTGTATCGAGACTCACAAGAGCACCGATGTATAGACACAGCTGGGTTCCGCGTTTGGTGCCGCTGGATGACGCCTTCCACAGCAGCATCGTTCACGTCAAACAGAGCGTATTTGGCACTATTGCCGACTTTCGCTGTAGATCTGTTGACAAGGTTGTTGAACTAGATCAAAATTCGTTAGAAGCATAGACGGAAATACTTGCGGATAGGTCCTCACCATATGATTCCCCATAGCTCCCAAGCCGATGAATCCGATAGTGTTAATTCTGTCAGTGGGGGCGCTGGTCATCATGCGCGTGGAGCCCAACTGGTGATGGCGTCCAAGTTGATGTCTGCAGGGTTGCTGGCGGAGGACGGACCCCCAAGAGATCGTTGACGGCCGCATTTGCATGTTGAAGGTTGCGTAGTGACTTCGTGTGAGGTCATGGCATATTCACGTTTCCATTGACTGAATTCGTTCCTTTAAGAGTGAATTAACGTTTCCGAAGTGATACCGTTGTAGGCCCGTGGCAACTGGACCCAAGTCAGAACAAGGCGGGCCTGATCGGGCGGCCGTAGTGGGTACGGTCCGGCCTTGGGAGGCTGATCTGCACTAGTGTGTGAGGGGTGGGAATAAAGGTGGACACGGTCCGGCGCCCGTGTCACTTAGTAGGATTACGTGCATTACTGGGGGTAAGATCTAGGCTTCTGTTTTGGGAAACAGTGATTTCATCTGAGTGCGGTAGACGTACCCCAGAGCAAGGTGGTAGTCCGTTGGATGTGGTGTGGAAATCAACATACGCTTTGCTCGGCGTTGAGAAAGTGTTTCCACCACTCTTGATTCACCACTGTTGAACTTAATGCTGAAAGAAAAGGATGAGGTAATGAGGTGTTGAGTTAGCGACGACTACTAGCAGGTGAGGGAAATGGATACTTCAGCGAGATTTTGTTGTATACAGACGCGGTGTATCTTGAAAAATACTTGCAGTGCTGATTCTGCTTTGGGTGGGCAGTACAATGATGGTTACGACGAAGATGGCCCAATCTTTTGCAGTGAATTAATAACCTGAACAGCTTCTCGTCGATTCCCGTCGGGGACATGCTGCAAAATCAGGCGTCTCTGCCGACGTTCGTCGCCTCACGCCAAATCCAATCTCCAACCCTTCTCCACGGTCCCTTACTCAACTGGGCAAACGAGTGCCTAGTGTCTCATCGCTTGTCGCTGATTACAAATTCTTCTTGCCAAAGCCTATCAACGACGCCATCTCTCCCCAGAAGCTCGAAGGCGGATCCTTGACCAGTGCTTCAGCTTCATACCGATCAATGCTTGACCGAGCCCATGGAAGGTCTACCTCATGGGCTTTTTTGATCCTTGTCTTTTTAACCAACTTCCATCCTGTGTATAACATAGGTGCAACAAGCTGCATGGTATAGTTGGCGAAGAAATTGGAGGGACTCCAAGGGCGAAAAGCGGTGTATCCATAGGAAATTGCGATAGCTATCTCCAGGACCAGAGCTACCCAGGCACCGTAGGGTTGAAGGTATCCATAATATGGTCTGCTTCTGCGATCGACACCTTGAGCTTTGCAGGCTTCATAATAAGATAGAAAGGTAATCAGTATGACGATATAGTTGACAAGACAACCACCAGCAATGACGGAGATGAGGGTACTCAGAACCTTTGCAGAGCCGCTGTTGGCCTGTAGAAATGCCAAGAATGGGAAGGCCATGGTAATTGCAAAGCAATTGATAGGAATACCAGACTTTGTGACCCGCTTGAGGAAAGCTGGAGCATGACCCTCGAGGGCTAAACTGTACAGTGAGCGAGCGGCACAGTAGGTATAAGTATTGCCCGCCGAGTAGATGCTCGTACATAGCAAGGCGTTAATGATATGGGGAAGGATAGTGATGCCCATATTCTGCATCGCGATGACATATGGCGAGGCATTGGCGGTCCCGGTGCCCTGACCATCGATGTGGATGCTTCGTAGCTTCGTATCGTCATAGGGAATCACGATCCCGACTGCCACAGCACTTCCAACAAAAAAGATACCGAAGCGAAGGTATACTGTCTTGAAGGCTGACTTGATATATCGGCTGGGGTGCTTTGCCTCAGCGGCCACCATAGAGATATAGTCGGGCCCGACAATGATGAATACCGCGGTGACCAATACGCCCATAAACCCTTCAAGGCGGCCGAGGTCTCCAGTGGAAGTGAAAGTCGCAAAGGCACCAGGTGTGTGCCAGTTCCGGAAGCCGTATGCATATCCTTGAGGGTTCCCGCCAGCCATAGTGATGATTGTAAAGCCAAAAAGCATGAATGCCAGAATGACCTTCCCTGCTGAAAGCCAAAACTCGGCTTCGCCAAAGATATTCACCGCAACGGCGTTAATAATACTTTTCACATCATCAGTGCATCGAACGGGCATTAATCGGAGATTTTCCAGAAGCGAATGACTTACCCATAGGAGACAATAACCCCTACACAAAATCCAGTCAAAGGCCCAGGTTCCGAGATGCCAGGTGCCCAAAAGGATAACACGATATTCAGTGCCACTATCTCAAAGGGAATGAGAAGAGCCTCGTACAAGAAGAAGTTCCAGCCGACCATGAATCCTAAGGCATCGTCGAACCACTCGCCCGCAAGGCGAATAAACCCCCCAGAAACAGGCATATACGTGACCATCTCGGCAATGGAGTTGTTGACGAGGGCCACCACACACGAGTAGAGCAGGAAGCAGATCAGAAGATTCGCGGGTCCCCCTTTGGCGAGAGCAGCCCCGATGCTCACAAATAGGCCAGTGCCAATGGTTCCGCCAATGGCAATAAGCTGTATCTGCCTGTTGTTGAGGCGACGATGCAAGCCGCCATGAGCCACAACGTCGCTTCCAGCATCTTCGCAGTGCTCGTGCTCAGTCTTCATATCAATGCCCGTGATGTCTTCGTTTGCGTAGTACTTATCAGAATGCAAGGTCATAATGGCTAGAACCTCGCTGGGTTTGACGGTGCTTCGCTGAGAGTTTGCAAGTTGTTGATCCGTGATTTCAACTCTAGAATTTAAGGAAACGGTGTTGGGTCTTTGAAACGACAGAGAGCTTTCTTTAAAAGAGTCACAAACTCTCCCTAAACCGAATTGAGGATTTAATGAAGAGTGCAGCAGGTTCCTCAGGTGGTCAGCGCGATGGACTTGTCAGATATCCCCCAATGTAAGCAGTTGACTTCCAAATCATCGTAACTTTCGGGACCGTATGCCTATTTAAGGAAATATACGAGCCGAAGGCCACTGCTAGTCGATTCCCTTCGACCGTGAGCCTCTTGGAGTCATGATGATCGCCCTTGAATACGACATCCTAAATTCAGAGATCAGACGCAAGTTGTAGTTGACAGCCGAAGTGAACTGAAGTGAGTGGAAGTGGAAATACATGTAGTTTTGCCCACCCAGACTCGGCAATGTTGAGCCGCCGCCATTTCGGGCGACCAAATGGTGCCGAGGCATAGACACTTTGAAATCCTAGAACATATTCATCATGACACTTGAGACTATATTCGACTTGTAATGAATAATTTCTTCCATAAGACTCGATTATTGAACTACGCTGATGCTGTAACATCATAGCCATGACAGTGATGGGCTGTCATGGTGACAGTTGGGCTCTGGTGCTGAAGACCAATGCGGAGATTCTTCCGGAGTTGCCAGCTTAAGAACAGGTTTGAGCAGCTCGAAATTGCCCCATTCACCTTTAAGCTGGGTGAACCATGGCGATTCCGGCCCAAAATGCTCGGGAAACACGTCGGCCCATCCCTTAAGCACAACATCTAGCAGCTCTAGGACGAATAGCTCTGGACCAGTTTCGCCCCACTGGAATCTTTCATTGCACTGCTTCACAGCTTCGGGAGAATATATGCCGACGTCTGGCTGCAAGGGCATGGCGGCTGCCGCCATGAGTGAGGCGAAGACGTGATAGGAGCCTCCCTGACGCGTGCGGTCTCTTATAGCCATCATAGCCCCAATAGCGCCAATCAAACCGGTCAACATGTCTGGGACAGGGAGAGCCGGCAATACGCAAGTGCCGTCTGTATGACCCAGACTTCTTCCGGTGACATATGAACATCCAGAGGCGGCGTCGGCTACCTGCTGCCAGCCTGGGCGCTCGTGCATGGGGCCGTCTGGTCCGTAGCAATTCTCTTCGACGTAGACGATGCCCTTGCCCCGTTTTCCGGCTATCTCCAAGAGGTCGTGGAGGCCCATTCCTCTCCTGGCTAGGGACCCTGAACGGTAACCCTGGACGAAGATGTCGGCGTCCTGGATGAGACTGAGAAGGTGCTGAAGCTCGTCCTCTTTGTCAAAGTCAATGTCTAACGTGCGAACTCCGGCGTTGAGCGTGAGTTGCAAAGACTACGATCAAAGGTCAGCTTTTGCATGGTTTTGCCAGTATATTACTAGCCAAAGTGACTTGTAAACATATGTAAAGAATCCGTTTTCATAACAGGATTGGAGTGCAAAAGACCAGTGCTTACATTGAAGTCTGGTAGCCTGCTGCAGTTGATGCGGACAACGTCAGCTCCGAGTGCCGCCAACGTCGTTCCAATCACTGGGCCTGCAATGATCCGCACAATTTCCACTACTTTGATGCCAGCCAAAGGTCGCTTGTCGGGGCCGGGGGTCAAAGGAATCGCTGGTGTAGGGATAGCGTGTGACTGCAACTTGTAGTTTACTAGAGGGTGTTTGGAGAGGTCTTTGCTCATCCGCGTCTGCCTCCACGATTCTGGAGTATAGCAGATACTCCCACAGAGACCACGCTCAATATTGATGCCTTCCAGCTCGTGAGCGCCAAACTTCCGCACGTGTTTGCCGATGAGCTTGTAGGCTTCATCGAGCCCGCTGCAAGGTGTCTCTGCGTCCAGGCCAACGGCTTGCAGCACAGGACCCGCATCGAGCGAGCCATGGAGCTGGTACCAGAGCCCCTCATCTTTAGTAGGATAGTTGGCTGTCGCGCGGAGTCGCAGAGGCGTCGCAAACGTGCCCTTCTCCAGGTCCTTGGAGAAGATGCTTGCGAGCTCACCCCGTTTAGCCAACTCTCGGACGGTTGACCCGTTGCGCTTGGCCATGCCAACACACCCAAGCCAGAATGCAGCATGGTCTGTGTTGATACCAACATGGCGGATAGGACTGCAGCCGTCTCGGAGGGCCAGGACCTCGTTGGCAACCACTCCGCACATGGCGTGCAGTGCCGCGGCAATGACAGGAGACTTGAGTGGGCCAGGGGCGATGGTCTGCGGCGAACCTTGGAACGAAACAGACTTCCACATCTCTTTATCTTGCGTGAAGCCCGGGGTCACCGCCGCAAGCGATTCAAAAAGCCGGAGCGCATCGTCGGGGACGGCTGGGGCATCCTGATCGATCCATGACCCAGGCCCATAGATGTCGGCGCCTGAGATAATGTTCGCCATGGTGTTGGGGGTTTCTGGTGCGCAGGAGGACGTAACAATAACTAAGGTGGAGGAAGTTGCAGAGTGTACTTCACTAGTAGAAGAAGTCTGGGGTAGAGTGTTGGCGCGGGATGGGACTGCCTGTAAGACACGGCAGAGTCATATTTCAGGAGGTTCACCATTGTCATTGACGACTTAAATACGATGTAAGTAGACAAAAATCAATGCATGCAGTCTGTTGCCCCCTTGCTTAAACTGGGGGTGTTCCTAGTGGATGCTCGGCCCCGGATGACGATGAATTTAGACGTTCCAGGGATCGTCGCCGGTCCGCCCGGACCGTTGGGGGCCAAGATTCTAGAGCGCTCTCCGCACATGTATCCAGCCATTGTTCCCACATGCTTGTCATCGGAGGCAAAGTTTACCCAAATAGGTCAAATCTGCCGGCAACGATTATTCTTATCGAAGAGCGGGACCAACAAGCCAGGGATTCCATATTGGAAAAGGTCTTCCTTGCCTTGCTACATAGTACGCCTGGGTCCTGACATTCATCGAACAAGGCTTCATCATACCTCTAATCAGGTCAACAGAAACTGTCAACACTCATCCTTGGAAGCTCTCCACCTTTGAACGCTCACTAACATTCACTACCGAAATGGAGAAACCCTGTTGGTTCGTTTGACCCCTACCCATGCTGTTGCGGTTGCTTGTCTCCATGGTTTCTCTCCGTTTTCGATGGCATCTTTAGTCCGCAGACTAACTTAATGTCCAATCAGCTCGTACAAGCGACATGATAGCGGAGCGGCGCCGTCGCCGGTCTTGATGGATCATTCGACCATCACCAAATTAGCCGAAAGCGCATTCCCCGAGCCCCTGTACGGCAATGTCACTTGGCAAACGCTGCTGTCGAGGCCCGACACCTTGACTGATTCCATGTGTGCGGGACTCGCAACATGCCCACCCGAGGGCTTTCTTGCTCTTCACCAGCACACCCAGGCCGAGATCTACTACATCCTCTCCGGCACCGGAAGCGTCGAGATCGATGGCAAGCGGCACGCGGTATCGGGCGGAAGCATTCTGTGGATACCAGGGGATGCCGTACATGGTGTCTTCTGCGGGCCTGGTGAGACCCTGCACTGGCTTTATGTTTTCCCCGAGGCTCGGTTTGAGGATATCGTCTATCGATTCCAAGAACCCATCAAAAGTAAATTGTAATCGAAATGTCGCAAGTTAGTTAGAGCAGTTCTTGAAGGCGTAAGGATGGGTAGCAATACGTCTCAAAGGCGATCGAGGACTCAAGAATGATAATGAAAGGCTGGAATGGAGGAAGAACTCAGAATGAAACATGAGAGTAGGATGATGAGAGATGAGTATTAGAGACAATTCAGAAGTCAATTATCTGTATTGCTGCGCAAGTTGACTGAAAAATACCCATGACCATCTGTATGATTTTACACTTTTGTGAACGCATGTGTTTGAAGCTAGTGGGCAAATCGCATATCGATAGCCGTCTGCTTTTCTGCCTCTGAAGCCTCTGCGTATCTCCTCTCAAGTATACGATTACGCCAGATGTAATATAGCTTCATGCCAATGAATAGGAGAATGTTGAATACACAAAGCCCAATCAAAGTCTTATTAGCGGTGTAATCTAACCCGAATTCGTAAGTGATTAGAAGAAAAATTCTGTGGAGTTTAAATGTTCCTTACAGTACGGCTTATCCTCGTCTCGATAGATGTTGACAGCAGCTATGCTGCCTATCTGGTACGTCATGTTGTACACAGCTGTTGCGACCGCTCTGGTACCCACACTACGTGAGTTGCGACTCGCCATTCCGACGAGTACGGAGTGCGTGTATGGGATCGAGTTGATCCCGGTGAGCAAGGCGTACCGGACCCAGGGGTTGGCCGATTCGGGCAGAGCGATAAGTGCGATGAAGAAAGGAAGCATCCAGATATTGCTGCAGGACGATATGATGGAACGTTCTTTGAAATATTCGGATAACCAACCAAAGATCAGAACCTGAACATCATTAGTGTTTTGTGCTTGGATACTTTTTGTCCGACTATACTTGCATTGATGGCGAATAGGGCATAGCTTGGTATCGCAAGCATATTGGACTCGAAGACAGAGTACCCCATGTCGCGAAGGATGAGGGACAGGTAGTTGGCTGTCGGCTGGAACGGAATCCAGGCAAAGAGGCCAACGAGGAAAATGGGCCACAGGTCCACAGTCGTCAGCGCTGTCCAGAGACCGTGGAAAGTTACGGCAGTTCGATTATTCATGTCGCCTTTCGTAGGGTCGTCTCTGAGGATTCGGTTCACGAGGACCTCTTCCTCGTGTTCTGTCCACCACTTGTTAGATCCATCTGGTCGCCTGAACGCGCGAGCGGGCTCGCAGACAGAAGGAGGCATGACGAAGAAGCTTATAGAACCGATGATGACGCAGATGAGTCCTTCGAAGAGGAAACTAGGCATTCATTAGGATCAGTATTTGCGGTAAGAAGACATGCGTGCAGAGGACAAGGAACTTCGTCGCTTGGTCTTGTACTTACAGCCATTGCCAACCCGCCCAACCTCTGATACCCCTCATGGCGAGGAAGCCCGCCGCCAGTAGGGCACCATAGATCTGCGTGATGGGGATGACTGTATAAAACACACTAAGGCGGATGGGGAGTTCGTTGTTCTTATAAAAGTACGAGAGATAAAGCACCATCTCCGGAATGAAGCCCCCTTGCACGAAACCGAGAAGCCCACGGAAAGCCCAAAAGCTAGCTCGATTGTTCATGAGCGTTTGGAGGGCACACAGCACACCGAACATTGTGATGATGGTCGGAGTGTATCTGAAGGGTCCAACTTTCTTGCTGATGAGGCCACCAGGCAGTTCAGCGGCAAGGAAACAGACGAGGTAGATTGTTTGGCCGGTGTTGTAATCACTGCACGTGAAGGTGTTAGCAAAGCTTTTCGGTACGAAGGGCCGTCCACTACTTGCTTGGTGTTCATTTTCAGGTCGTCTAGCTGATGAGCCACTTCAGTAAGCCTTCATTCGGATTTTTATTGGCTTAGGAATAGTGGCTAGGTCTTACCATGTTGTCGGACACTGCACGATTTACGTTCCTGCGTACTAAATCGAGACTGGAAAACATTATCCAGACCCAGGTCATGATTCTCCAGTCCAACTGTCATGATTGATATAGGTATCAGCTGTGAAAATCTACACTCATGAAGCTTATTTCGACGTGGTGTGTTCAAGAGTCTGGGTGCTCAAAGTAGTTACCTTCTTCTTGAGTCGCTTCTCCTCCTCCGCCGACCATGTCAATGTCGCATTGAACCGATGTCTCCCCTCATATGTCGCACTTTCGTAGACTTGCTGCCAGTGTGCGGCACGTCTAGGATTGGAGAAGACATGTGGTTCGACAGAACCTAGGACCTCACCGGTGGAAGGGGGAAGCTCATCGCGGACACTGACGTCAGGCTCGGAGCCGCTGGTGTCCGGGGCCTTGGAAGACATATTGTCGTTCGAACACGTCACAAACAGGAGCGTAATGCAGCGGCTGAAAGAGTACAAAAGCCTACGCAAGATGATTTGTCGTAGATGAGTCTTTTACGGCGGCTCAAATGAAATAGCTGTCGAACCAAATGCCTTCTCTAGAATCTTTGCGCATCGACGTCCTTGTAGCATCTTGTCTTCTCTCTTGCATCACAACTTACACAACACCTGCGTTCCTCGCAATGCAACAATTGTGTGATATGCAATAGCAGTTGCGCGATCAGGAAAAACAGGCTTGTCATGGGTTAAGGTGGACTTTTATGGGCTGAGGATTCATTGCTAGCCTGGGGCTAGGAACTCTGGTTCTTGATGGAGGAGGTAAAACGCATCCAAGGTCGGGAAGTCACCGAGATCTTGCATGGTACAAATGCATTCGGATTCTGTGCTCTAGTTTCATAAACCAAATGTACTAAGCCCTGTATATTGAAAATGTCCTCTTTTTGTCTATCCCTGTACATGGAGCGCCACCATCGCACTTCTATCCACCCTCGAGGGACTTCATCTACATGCCCAGTGCGTTTAAGTTGACATTCATCATCATGCAATCAATACCGTGCCCATGACCGATATACGTAAGATGTTGGTTGAGCCCCGATCACGGCCGTTCTATGGAGCCTCTCGGCATGACGTGATCTTACCACCCCTGAACACACCCCCTGATGGCGATCCTCTTTACTTGTGAGTGCTCCGAAGACCGCGGGGACTGGCAAACAGCGCCGCGACTAGCGCGATAGCTGCGAAGGTGGTGGATGCAGCAAACGCGTATCGGATGCCTTCGTAGTAGACCATGCGTGCTGGCAGACGCACCTCCACCGGGAGGGTCTTGAGGGCTGTCACGGAATGACGGATCTCGTCGATGAGCTTCCATGATGTTAGCAATTGAGGCAACAAGGGATAATTGGGGAACTCCATACCCTCCACTTGTCAGGGATATCACCGAGAGCATCTGGCAGACGGACGCTCAGGGTCGTCTGGACGATGGCCGAGGTGATTGCGACGCCCCAAACGGTGCCAAGGGAGCGGACGAGGTAGACTGTTGATGCCGACACGGCGTGATCTGTGGTTCAGGTTAGCCCGAATTTGATGTTCTGATAGTAAGGCTCGACCTACCGGCGTGATCAAACGAAGCTAGTGTCGTGAAGAGGATGGCGGGGTAGATGATTCCCTGGCCAAGATTCGCTGGGAAGATGTAGACCAAGTATTTCCAATTGCTGTCCTCAAATTTCAGAGCCGTTACCAGGGCATTTCCAAAGAGCATGAAGAAAGCTCCGGTGCGAACGAGCCAGACAAGCTTGCCCCAACGTGACATGACGATTCCGGCAACGAGGCCGCCAAGAGGAGTCGCGAGCGATGGAATGGCCAGTCGGGCACCGGCCTTGGTCGCAGAGTCGAGCAATACGACCTGGAAGAAAAGAGGCAGCATGAAGAGATACTGTCTCGAGTTAGAAGCGTTTCACGTCAATCGAAATGATGTCAAGAGTCTTCACACACCGCATATGCCGCTAGTCCCGCACAAACGTTCGAAATCTGCGTCAACACCGGCAACCGACCCCTCAGCATCCTCAGTGGGATAACAGGAATAGCCCTCGTTCTCGCCTCAACGACCAGGAACAGACCTAACAGCAGCACACTTCCCACCAGCGTCCCAATGACGATCGGACTGCCCCAAGGCAACTCATTTCCGCCCAGGCTCAGTCCGACGAGCTGCACCGAGATAGCCACGACGAGCAACAGCGCACCAGAGACATCGACGCGGGTCCAGATGGCCTTGAAGTCAGTCGTGTCGATGTCGAAGCCGCCTTCGGGGTTCTTAATCACAATCGCACCGAGAACGAGGGCCAGGACGGAGACGGGGACTTGGAGGAGGAAGCACCAGCGCCAGCCGATGTGGTCGGCGATGGAGCCGCCAAAGGAGGCGCCCGCCACGGCGCCGAAGCCGAACATGCCGTTTTGAAGGGCCTGGTACATGCCGCGCTTGCGGAAGGGGATCATGTCCGAGTTGACGATTGTTGCTGGTGGCCTGGTTAGTCGTGTCTACTCACACATGCCTTGAGATATCAAATGAAATCGGAACGTACCCATTGTCATCAACCCTCCACCACCAAAGCCCGTCAGCGCTCTCATGCAATTCAACAACACCACGTCCCGCGCCAGCCCGCACCCGAGACAGCCCAGCCCGAACGTGACGCTGCTGACGAAGAAACACACGCGCCGGCCGAAGATGTCGGAGAAGCGGCCGTAGAGCGGCTGGAAGGCGGTGCTGGTGACGAGGTACGACGTCGTCAGCCACGAGGCGGTGTTGGCGGCGTCGAATTCGGAGCTGATGACGGCGTACGTCGCGGCGGTGATGGTCCCGTCGAAGCCGTACAGGAAGACGTTGGACATGATGGCCAGCTCGATCCAGGTGAAGCCCGGCGGGGGCTTCCACGCTTCGCCGGAGGTTACCGCGGCGCCGGGGTCGCGGAGGAGGGGCTGGTCTTCGCGGGGAGCCGGGTCAGCGTCGGGGTATGGGGGCGGCGGTGAGGCCGGGGCCCGGGCCTCTTCGTCGGAGTGGGGCCGGGGATTCGACATTTCCAGTGTCTGGTGGCCTTCAGAGTGTGTGGCTGATTGCACGTGCTGGTAAGACAAGAGAGTCTCAGTCTGCAGGAACTAGGATGGATGCCGCGTGGACGTTAGATGAGACGGAAGTGGGGATGCGCGGCTGTTCAATGGGAGGATTTCATTGAGTTGGAGAGTGAAAGAAAAATTCAAACGGCCATCACGCAATCGGGGCCACAGCGACTCGGTCTGACTCTTCCGGCGCGGCTTTAAACTTGTCAGTGCTGGATGGAGTCGATAAGCCGGGGTGTGGGCGGGAATGACGAAGCGCAAGGCGGGACCATTTTTTTCTTCTTGCAGTTTCATCCGCCGATGGGCAACCGGCGGGGTGACGTGGGGCCGGGCTTCGTCCGCACGGTGCAAGGTCCTTGGTCTCGGCGGGCCAACTTCGGTGCCGGGTCGGGTAGCCGTCGATTGCAGTATGCATCTTGGTTTTGATGGAGAAGGTATATCACACCATATGCATCTCAAGCACGTAATGCCTCATACTCTTGTACCGTCCACGCCGTTTACGCCATTTGCTGCATCGTTCCTGGCGCAGAAATGATTCCGCATCGATGCTTGGTTGAAGGAGCCTGGGCACCCCGCGCTACCGGCACACGGCATGGGATTCCGCGTGAGTGCCGGAGGTGAGGGGTTGATGTCATGATGAAGTGCATGCAATGCCTGGCTCAAGGACGTGGACATGTATGGGATTGACTCCTGGAAGTCATTTAGCATAGCTGTGAGACCCGAGTGGTCACAGGACAGAAGCAATCCTTCGAAGCACGCAATGAAAGAGTTTTCAACGTGCTGCTTCCACAATACCCGGGGCAGACCAGTAAACCTATTCAAGACGATTGTGACCTAAATCTTCGTCCGTACTGGCTGGCCTGCGTCTTCGAGCCCCAGGGAGCTTGGAACACGTAGCATTGGCCATAGACCGTCATAAGGCTCGTCGTGGTGCAAGGCAGACAATGAGTCAGGCCGAAGACAAGTGCCATCTCTCCAAGCTATCAAGCTCCAGATGGTTCAATTGCGTAGACCGTAACAATCATGGTGCCATACTTCACAAATGTCAAGGCATTTCTGCAAGGATAGTGATGTCGCCATGCCGATCCAAAAGCTGAGGGGAAGCACACACAAAGTTTGCTGAATTGAAAAGGGCGGGGTATCTCTACCTTTTTCTTACCTTATCTCACCCAGCAAAAGCTCTCACAAGCAAAGCATTGCAAACTAAAAACATTGGAAAACACGTGAAGGAAATTCTCACAAGTCATCTTTTGAACTCTAGGGCTCATGTACTTCACCAAGGTGAATGTACCTATTCTTCGCAATGGGTAACCCGACGGAAATAGCTGACGCACCTAGGTTCCCCGGCCACCCACCATGAAGCAGCACACCACCACGCTCCTCGCCTTATCGGCGCTCCTCGCCCCCTTGGCGTCCGCAGACTGGCAGTTCCGCTCCCGCCCGGACCTCGCCCCGCCGCGCCTCAACATCACCATCCCGGCGACCGCGGACGTCGAGCAGGGCTACCTCTTCGTCGCGCCCTTCGCGGGCCTCCCGGACACGCCGACGGAGCAGCACGGCCCGCGCCAGGCGGGGCCGTACATCTTCCGCGACGACGGCGAGCTCGTGTGGAGCGGGTACGCCATCTACAGCATCTGGGCGACCAACTTCCAGGCGGCGCGCTGGCGCGGCCGGGATGTGCTGTTCAGCTTCGAGGGGGACCATAACCCTGGGTACGGCCACGGGCATGGGCATGTCACGTTTTTGGACCAGCATTACGAGACGATCCGGGAGCTGCGCGCGGGCAACCATAAGCTTGTTGATAAGCATGAGTTTCATGTTGTTAATGAGGAGACGGGGTTGATTCAGATTTATCAACCTGTTCCAAGGGACTTGACGCCGTGGGGCGCGGAGCCGGAGCAGCAGTGGATTGTGAACGCGATCATTCAAGGTGGGAAAGTTTGTTTCGCTAAAACACCCGGACGTCGTACTGATGGTGTCATAGAGTTGGACATTGCTACTGGCAAGCTCCTTTTCGAATGGTCCAGTCTTGACCACGTCACTCCTGATGGTAAGATGCCAGCCTTCACTTGAAGGACACATTATCTCACACCTATCACAGAGGCTATACTGCCCATCAACCCTGGCCAGGCTGGGTCAGGCTACAACAGCTCCGACGCATGGGATTACTTCCACATCAACAGCGTCGACAAGGATGCCACTGGCAACTACCTCATCTCCGCCCGCGACGCCTGTTCCGTGCACAAGATCAACGGCACTGACGGATCCATCATCTGGCGTCTGGCAGGCACAAACTCGTCGTTCGACCTCGGCGACGGTGTCGACTTTTGCTTCCAGCACCACGCTCGCTGGCTGTCCCAAGACGGCAACGAGGAGGTCCTGAGTCTGTACGATAACAGCGCCCATGGTACGGAGCACGGCGGCGGTAGGGAGGTGCACACAGCGCCGACGAGCAGCGGGAAGATCATCCGCGTAAACACGCGCACCTGGAAGGCCGAGCTGGTCCAGGGCTTCTACCCCCCTGATGACTTGCTCTCCAAGAGCCAAGGCTCGACGCAGATTCTGCCCGGTGGCAACGCGCTCGTCAACTGGGGTTCCTCTGGTGCCGTGACCGAGTTCAAGGCCGACGGCACTCCCATCTTCCACGCGTACATGGACTCTGGCGACCTTGGCGTGGCGGTGGAGAACTACCGCGCCTTCCGGTTCAACTGGACTGGCCTGCCTTCGGAGGAGCCTGCGATTGTCTCGCTTGAGAACAAGGACGGCACGACGGTGTATGTTTCTTGGAATGGCGACACTGAGACAGAGACTTGGCGCTTCTATGAGCTCACCGACGAGTATGGCTCGAGAAGCTTCCTTGGCGAGACTCAGCGAACGGGTTTTGAGACTTCACTGCACGTTCCTGGCCGTCGGGTTGGTCGTGTTGCGGCGGAGGCAGTCGATGCTCTTGGCGGCGTGCTGAGGGGCACTGGTGTCGCCAAGATTGAGCAAGAGATCCTGCCCATCAGCGCTGGGAAGGGCCGCAAGGTGCCGCACCCTCAAGTCGCGGAGAGCCAGCGTCCCAAGGAGAAGGTGCTTGAGAAGGCGAAGAGCTTCTGGGAGGAGTGGTCCATCTTCCGCATCGTCGGCTGGCGGAAGGCGGACGACCTCTGATGGCTGCCATTCGTGAAGCAAAGCGCAGCATTCCTGCCAAGAAAGATGGATGAGTGCGACGTGGTTGGCCACGAGCTCGTTCACCCCGCCATTGCTGCGCTGCCACTCATAAGTTGCTTATCCAACCGGTGAGGCGATAGAGTATCGATAGCGGGTATTTGGCAGACTTAGTGTCCCGTCCTAGATCGTAGTCAATTGAATCGATACTCGAGCAGGCCTTGATACCTCTCACGAGTGATGTCGAATGGAAGTCACCAATCTGTGCTGTGGTACCTTAGCTTGAGCGCGCCATACCCACTGCGTGGAACGTGCACCTGGGATATACGCTTACATAATGTGAGACCCACGTTGCGTTGCAAATAAATGTCCTTCCGCCGCAAATTTTTCTTCCAACGTCTTTCCTCCCACGCAACACGAACAAATTCCCGGCAACAAATGCAGGACCAGTCGCGTCGCAGTGAAAATCGACAGGATCGGTTCACAGTCTTATTTCTGGCTAAGATTCTTCTTTTCCTGCGGCCGCCTGGTCCTGAAACCTCAAACTGTAAGTTCAGTTCCTGCTGATTTCCTTCCATATCACCGTCTCAAATGATGAGAAATTAAACTTCCATGGCAATGATATCTATTTACATGATTATTGTTACACACACTGAAAATCCTGAACCGACATTCATTCACTCACCTCATGTCTATTCGTCTGTGTCGCGATCAATGACTAACGAGGTTCAATAGGCTGCAATGCTTGGCTTGATGGCTGAAGGGGTTCCGTTTGGTGGGTTGGAGGGCAAGATAGTAAATACGAGATGTTTCTCCCAGCGTTTTTGCATGCGGTACCCCCCTACCTACCCTTGTGATGGCCCAAACTTGATTCCGTATCGTGCTGCGAAACTAGCTTTCCTGAACTCGCCAAGGCAAGTGAGCAAACAAAGAAGCCGGAAGGGGTAATGGCGACCGTTTCCCCCGGTCGACACTAGCATGCCGCCAAGCGGGAAGTACCTGCGTGCACTTTAATTACCAACACGCATTCCCCCGCTGTTGGTTCTCATTCCAACGCTCCTCCCCCTTTCAACCTCAATCAACCCCTTCACCACTATACGGACCTTCAACATGGCCAAGGCAACGCTCGAAACGCTGCCTCCGGAGATTCTCCATCAAATTTTCTCACTCGTCGTCGCACAAAAAGATGAGTACACTACCAGTCTCTGCTGTACAAGCAAGCGCATCCGCGAGTTCTCGAGCGCCGCGCTGTATGGGACCCTCACTCCTCATGAACCCTCGGGTCCGGATGAGCTCAGTCTTCAGCGCGTCGTTGCCCTCTTTCACGCGTTGACCCTCAACCCACGCCTCGGCGAGCTCGTACAGGAGATCGACCTCTTTCACCTATATACGTGCACGAAGTGGGAGCCTAGCCATCTACAAATGTTCCAAGGCATTTACACCATGTGGAGAAGTGAGAAAATGGAAGCTCTCCCCGGCCTGTTCTTGCCTCCGCCTCAACTTCTCAACCAAGTCCAATACATGGTGTGGCTATCGGAGCTGCTCATCACGAAAATGCCTAACCTGCATACCCTCGCGATCAGGTCTCAAAGTTGGCTTCGGAATCACCTGATCGGTGACAAAAAGCGGGATGGGTCTGAATTTTACCATATGGAGACGTTGGACATCATTTCCAGAGCTGCTGGGAGGCGAGTGCTGTTTCCTCACCTAAAGAACGTATGTATGGACATGAGCGACTGTTTGAAACAGCTCAGTGACGTCGCACCCAATATCGAGTCCCTCGAACTGAACGTTGTTCTCTGGCACGCGGATGAACCGGCCGACGTCCCCGACTTCAATTTACCCCATCTCAAGTTTCTCGAGATAGGAGATAACTCTGTTGTCACAATGCGGGTGCTTCCTGAGCTGGTTAGAAAACTGCCCAGCCTACAAAAGCTTCACTATGAGCATACAGACAGCGGGCTATATTCAGACGACGATTGCCCCACTCCTCGAGGCATCGTCAATTTATTGAAGCCCATCGCAGAGCAAATGAAGGAGCTCAAGCTGAGCCATTTCGACCGATGGATCGTCAAGCTTTGTCATGAAACTGGGGTCAGCAGATACGCCCAGAAGTTCGTCGAACCCGCTGGCGTCCTGGAGCCTCTGGAGTTCCTTACGGTCCTCGAGCGTCTGGATGTTGACTCCGACTGTCTTTGGGTACAGCGACACCCATACGTCAGAAGGTCCAACTACGAGAAGGTCATGCATCTCATCAACTTGCTCCCCCAGCGACTGCAGGACCTTAAGTTCGACGGACTCAACGACGATGACGCAAATGGCGACGACCCGGACCCCAGGATACACTTCGTCAGAGAAGTTGCACTCAATGACGGCGACGAAAACATGGAAAACTCTGAAGAACAGTGGGACAGCATGGACTATCCGTACGTGAGAAGCAACTGGCCCCGCGGCAGTTACGTTCATGAGCACGCTCATGATGGGCTTTTGCTGCTCCCGCGTCACTTACGACAACGCTGCCCCGACCTACAGTCGGTGACATATCGCTTTCTACCGAAAAGCCCAGGGCTTGCCCCGGAGCAACTGCAGACTCTCAAGCAAGCATTTGCCGAGGTAGGAATCGAGTTTCACCCTTCTGAGCGCGATGAGTACGAGATAGAAAAGCGGATTCTTCGACATTACTGGCATTCCGACATTCCGCAAGCAGAGTGGTTCTGAGCTTAAGCAATGTTTGGGGCGTTCTCTATAAGCGCTCAGACACCTACTTACGGCTGTGTAACTGTTCCTTGAAAAGGGCTATTCTTCTTCCGTAATATTGGATAGACTTTGGAAACAATTAGCATAATGACGGCGGCAATAGGAAAGATAGGCGGGCAGGATGTGGTAGGTTGGGACGGCATAGACAGTGTGACCTACGGCAGGAAAGCAGCTCCTTGCCAGAGCTCAACCTTTGTATAAATTTCGTATACTTCATTCTCGTACGAATATGATCGTCGAATCAAACTTGTTTATCGTGGAGTTTGCATAGCTTTTCCGGCCGTACACTGCAGGATTCTTAGCTTGATCTCAATCATCTTGAAGCCCACGTTTCATCATTTGAAGTGCCGGAGCGGTCTCCGTCCTGCCATTGCACAGCCACGGATCCAGCCAACGAAAGTGGCTCACCTCAGGGCCCCCTCCATCCCTCTAGACCTTCATGTCTTTTCGTTCCCATTCCTTCCCCCGTTTGTTGCTTCTTGAGTCCCTTCTCCTTGTCACCGTCAGTTGCCTTCGTCGATTTTGCCAACTACCGTCCTAAATAGAGCTATCTCGAGCCTCGCGGGTGCTTTCATCTAGCACCGCCGGATTGTCGACTTTATGTAGCCCGGTCTTGTCGGCCGGCGAGGCTCAGTTATGTTCTATTCGAAGTGCGTTGTGATGCTTGGTCCGGAACAGTTGAACAGGAGCTGGGCCATGGATCAGATTTTATAGTTAAAAGTCACACCGGGCCGGTGCAGGTTTCCGATACCGACATTCGGGATGCGGATCCGTGCAAGGACCGGGCCGGACCCGTACCTGCACCACAGGAAATCATTACAAGGGGAGAGACGTTCTAGAGAGGCGGGATCAGGGAGGGTCATCCCCCAGGAAGGAAAAAAAATTTCATCATGTCATGGGGAGGAGCCCATCGTGAAACCCCCGCGTTCTGTATGAGATCAGGTATAAGCTCTCGGAGAATCGGGAATATTAGCTAAAAGAAACGAAGCCCCTAGCATCGCCGAAGACGGCTCGGCGGTGCGCGGCTCGGGGTGGGGTGTTCCGTCTCCGGCTTTCGGGGTCGACCCCCGCTGCCAAGGGGATGGGAGGCTTCACCGTGGTGAGCAGTGAGCACGCAATTGGAGACCCAAGCAGAGTTGTGGAAAGCCATAGGTATGCAAGTAGACAGCACAGTGTCCGCGGACTCGCAAAGTCTGGGGTTTCCAATTTTTCGCGTCGAGGTCGAAAATAGAAGGTTGAGCACAGGCGTGTTGGGGAAAACGGAAACGCTGATGCACGCTGCGTCCGGGTGACCCAAGCTTTTAGCTGAGGCGCGGGTCACAGGGCCGCCTGAGGTGTCGGCGCTAGAAAGCAACGGTGCATGTCGCCATCCCCCAGTGCATATGCGTCGTTGCTTGGGCGAACCGTGGCCATCTTTCGTCGTCGTGACTTTTTCTGGGGTGTTGGCGGTCACCGGGTGATGGACTGGCGGTGGCATTCGTACCTGATCAGCGCCTCAACCGTGTGTGGTGTTGCGCTCGCGTATCGTGGGGAGCGGTCTAGGTTCGCACCAGGCAGGTTAGCTGCAGTAGCAGTGGGCAGCGAGAGAGATCACCACCTCAGCGAGGTGCCGCCTGTGCCATGCCATCCCGCCAGGTCTCAGGTCGGGGTGAAGGGGGAGATGGTTCGCTGGGTGAGGGTAGCTGGGCTTGATCTAATCTGATTCGATCCAGTGCGGGTACCTCTGGACTGGACCTTCCGAGTTGGCGCGTCCGCATGCTGTTGCTGCTTGCTGGGTGCGCTGGCTGGCGCCCCCCTCCACCCAAACTCTCTCCCCCACCCCCTGGCAGCAGCAGCAACAGGATCGACCTGAACAGCGAACATCATCCTTCCGTCAACCACCACCCCGGTGCCCGCCTTGTGTCGTCGACTTGCGATGGACTCAAACGTCGCGTTTCTGGTCTCGTAGTGTCGTTTCTTCCACAGATTCGTTGCGTATTTTTATTCTCGTTCTCTTTCTTATTATACATCTCCTGTTGATATCTCCACAGGATCTGCCGAGACAATACATCCGTTGCGTCATCATTTCCGGTTGGGAAAACAAGCATCAGCTGCGGCATCGGGGGATTCTCGAACCCCACCCCGCCCATCCCAATCCCCATCCCACGCCATCAGGTGCACCTCACCACACAGTACACTACACTACGGTCTACCTACACAGCTAGGCTCGGGTGTCAGGAACCGAGACCAGATTGGCAGCAACCCCAAGCTCGAGCATTGCTCGTGCGTCTGAACCGCTCACCGGCGCCCAGTCAAATATAGCTGGCCCCTGTCCAGGTGCCCTGGCCCAGCATGGTCGTCTTTGTTGATTTAGAAGAGGACGACGAACCTCTTCATGTCCTCGAGGCCCGTCGTTTAGCAGCAGCCGCCGCCGCCGTCACCCAACGCATCGAAGCACGCAACCGCGAGTATCAGCGTCAGTTCTACAGGCCCAACATGGCTACCGTCGCCGTCTCAGTCCCCGTCCCAGCTCCGGCTATGCACATGGCTCCGCCTGCTGCTGCTGCTGCTGCTGCACCGGAGCCATCCCCGACCTTCCAGAGTGCTGCCACTGAGGCTCTTGGCTGCTATCCGTAAGCTTACCCAACCCTCAATCCCATACGAAGTCTAACACGGACGGGCAGTGTCGTGATGGCCATCGCCGAACACATCGACCTCAACACCCTCGACAGTCTGGCCCGTACCTGCCGCATGGTCCGACAAGGCCTGCTTCAATACCGCAACATCCTCCTCTCCTCGACGCTACACTGCTCCAATGAGCTCGACCCCGTTGACCCGGAGTCAACCTTCCGCTACCGCGCGAGGGCGAGCAACTGGTACTACATGGAAGACGGACGCGCCTACAACGGCAAGAGCGGCAGCTGCGCCCGGGACCTGGTGACGGAGTGCCGGAGGTGTGAGACTGTTGTGTGCAGGGTATGCCGTCCTACGCCGTGCCGCGTGCCCTTGGCCCTCTCGCCGAGAG